CAGTCCTTGGTCCCCTGGACGAGCCCAGCGAAGGCTCAGAAAGCGACATTGATAATGATGCGCCCATGGCCACAAATCCTACCACACCACGCAGCTTATCCCGGTCTGCGACACAGAGCACGCAAGGCTCTTATAATAGGAGAGTGCCGACCATCAACGCGCGCAACTCCTCTGCAAATACGTGGGCCCAGTATCGCACCGCGCCAGCTACCCCGCTGGGTACACTAAGAGGAGCCGTATCGAGATCTTCCAGCATGAATAGCTTCGCCCAGACTCGACCGGCGTATGGTCCCAATCACTCCTCATCTAGCGTCAGTTTGCGATCGAGGGCATCAGGAAGTTCCGCCTCGGGCTCCGTTATTAGACTCGCAACGCGGACGGACTCGACTGATCTGCCCTACATCCTCTCTCTGCGGGAGACCAGGGCCTCATGAGCTGAGCCAACACAGAAATCTTAACGACTGAATGACTTTGGGCACTGCATGATATCCACGGCGTTTTGGTGTGAGGGTGGGCTCAAAGGGCCGGCTCAGATTCTTTGTTGTATTATCTAATGTTAATCGCATGCACATAACTTCACTGTGTTTCTCTGAAAAGGTCCCACCGCCCAATGTGATGTTCCACCATGTGTCGGCCAATGAACTCTGTTCTCCTCCCGGTGACATCTGCACCTCGATCTGGCGTTGTGTAAATCGATTCGTATGCGGGTGTTTGGTAGTCGACGGGATTCGGGAAAAGGAAGAGGCGTGCTTTGACAGGGTCGTCGCCTGTAGCAACCCGCGGTGGTGGCTTTTTTGGGTTGAACTAGACTTTGGGTCTAGCGTGGGAAAATCTCCGAGAAATAGTAAAGCTTGGGGTCGAATTCGAGGGGTCCAGAAGTCGTGTACGGGAGGAAATGTATAAGGTAGGAAATTAGAGGTGATGAAAGGTCAATCTGAAGGGGTTCGAGGCGGGAGGGGAATGGCATCCATTTAGCTTCCCGTCTGCGCGGCGCTGCTGGGCGGGGGCGCCTGACGGGATGGCACTTCGGGGTTAGGAATGTGTAAGGCAACCGACACACCCTGGCTGGCTGCAACCCTTTGATGGGCTCGCGCAGCGGCGCAGCCAATTGAATTTAGCGACGTGGGAGGTACATGTACCGACCATACTGCAAGGTAGTGGTGTGGTACATATAAGCTTAGATGTATCTGGGCATGCCAGCTTTGTGTGATGTGCACAAGGACTGTCACGAAAGCTGCCCTCCCACGAAACTTCCCCGGCCCGGTACATCTCTCCAGTTATTTGGCTCTCCGGATCCGAAGCAACGGGGCCGAACATGGTACGTGCATTCGGGTAGGGTGGGGCTTTGGGGACCGAGATCCGCCCAACTTGTGTAAGCAGGCGAGCCTTGCTCAAGACCCCTGGTCGGATCCGAGTCCAGGTATGTGTAGGTAGTAGTTTGCAGTCTGGTGGTTGGTAGTTGGTCGAGGTCTGGTTGGCACACTTGTCAGTTTGTCTCTTTTGCATGTTAGAAGCATGTGCACGCACTTGGCGGAATGTTATAGACAGGCGTGTTCTTCCATCAACAAAGACTTAAGAGGTATTCACGAATTCATCAATGTATTTCAGCCATTGAGGTTGACCCTTATGTTGTCAATCTTGCGGGCTGCTTCAGCACAATACTTGGCCATGGACTCATCGGCCGATGTGGAGGCATGAGAAAGCATGGTCCTGGGGCCGTTGTTGTCGCTGAGGAAGGACCGGATTCGGAGTTGTTGGAGCTGCTGGCCTTGTATGATTTGAGCTGCGGTCCGAGGGGAAGTGGTGCTCCATGATGAAACAAAAGTTAGCCTTACTTAGGAGATGTGAATGGCAGAAGAGCCGGAATCCCTAGGTAGCGTATGTGGATTATGATGGGGTAGGGATATACGGTGGGCCATACCCGTCGATGGTAGCTTGGTTCGAAGCTGGATACATTGTGGCAGCAATTCACCTACTAATAGACGTGGTGGTTCAAAAAAGAGTACCGTATCTTGAGGTGACGTGGATCGTAATAGACGGCAAGGCAAGACAGGATCGATAGAGAAAAAAGCTTTCAATGAAGTACATATGAATAGGGGCGAACGACTCGAGGGAAGTCATTGTTCTTATAAGCGTCTCGAATGGAGGAGAGGCCATGAAATCGGGATGAAAAACACCAGACGACGCAGCGCGACACAGATTGGCAGTGCGACGAAAATCGGCGCGGTACCAAAGAGCCAGGTACCATTGGTCCACTCAGGTTCGGGGGTAGATATAGACAGAGTGCCAAAAGATTCGAAGTGTGACAGTCTACCCACACTGGCAGGGATGATCGGGCTGGACCAACATGCCGTCAGACGATGGGCTATTATGTGATGTGGAATAGACTGTGTGGCTTGAGTACCACAAAGTGGGTACTAGGTTTACTTATAAGCTACTGAGGATGACGGATGGCCGGAAAAATCGGTATGCCCCGAAAGCTGAAGGCTGTCTGGTTGCTTTCTTGTTGTCCTCCTTTCGGCACCAGTATTTTGCACTCTAGGCTCCCAGGCTGGAGCCTTTATTCCTCAGTTGCCGTTTGACTGATGAGGTAAGAAGCTCGGCCGAGTACACATGCGCTTGGTCTTAGTCCACGCGGGAGGTAAAGCTCAACGCCTCAGTAGCTGTCACGTATGGGACCTGCCTTCAAGCTAGACTACTTGCACACGTGCTACAGTCAACATTGGTCTGTCTCGCCCCAGACCAGGTTCATCTTTAATCAGATCAGATGAAGCTCAAAACCGCTCTGAGTTGATACCTGTCTGTCTAGAGCAGCATTGCTTGCAAGCCTCGTAGTCAGAGTTTGGCGGTATTGGGTATTTGAATCAGGCGGTGTTCAACTGTATCGGCGGTCAGCGTGTACCGAAATGTCTCCGAAAGGATGAAGGCATTCCCACCTTCCAATTCTCAGATTGTAATCGCTATTGATCTCTCCCGGTGCTGGCTGCTCATCCACTTGACCTCACCAGACCTAATCACAGCGACAGACCCTCGCGACCGTACACCGTGAGCAGTCACAATGAACTTCTTCTCATTACTCCGTATTCGCGAAGTTAATTCAGGTGCCATGTTCCATGCCTGGATGTCATCTCATCATTTTACACTTTATTTGAACCACGGCCGTAGCGGCGTCAATATCCCCTCGGCGCCTGTGCTCGGCGTGTTGGTCAAGCAAGGAGCGTCGCGGTCGGTGGATGTTGCTGACGCCTGAGTATATTTGCATGGTTGTTCTGAGCATTCTGGGCATCGGGTGTGTTCTCGTAATCCCTGTCCAAGGTTCTCTTTTCTTCTTCTTGCGACTAAGTACCGATGGAATCACCTGGGCTGGTACATTGTTATGCTCACCTTTTTGCTGCTTTCATCTTCGACTGAGTACATGGTTTCCAGGTTGATGACATCTCGTCGTTGCAATGTTGGGAAACTCAAGAAGTAATATTGGTCAAATGTCATGGCGGCGCAAACATGTATGTCAATTTGAATTGTAACTCATTGAGACGTACTTGAACAAGAGGAAGCCCTGGGCGAGGAGGAGACAGCAGAGCGGCCCTAAGATGCTACCCTATAATGGAAGTGTCCTAGCACGAGACCGCCAAATCGCTACCTCTGCCCGCTATCGTACCTTTATTAGGTAGGTTCACACCGGAACGTCGCCTGTGCCCCACTGGAGCTCTACCTTGTCCTGAGACCGGTGGCGGGGTCACCTCCCATGTGCCTCCCGTCCCCATCGGCGTTCATCGTCATGGCTCTTCCTTTCCTAGATAGCTAAGGCACCTTAAGGTAGGGCCAATCAGCTCTTTAGTGCATTTCCCAAAGGTACCTAGGGATGCCACGACTTGGGCCCCTGGTTTCGCAAGACCTTTCTGTATCCCTGGTAGAACCGGCCGTTTGGGACAAGTGCAACGAAGGTACAGTTCCATGTTTGAACCTACACGCCGCGTCAAACGCCTACTACGCCTCGGATAGTTGACATGTTGACAGTGAATGGTGGGCTGCACCGCTTTTACGATGACGAAGCATAAGAGACAAGCTTCCTTGAGGTAGCTTCCTCCAATCGGATAAGTATTGCAATCTCTGTGCTCCGTTCACTACCGTGATGGCGTTAGCGATCCGGCCCACCTGCCGTAGCTGAGTACGTACCTATCCAGCACGATGGGTGCTCAAACATGAAGCAAGTGCAAGATTATTCAGTTGTTTCTCACTGCTTCATTTGAACCAAGGTCATTTCGATATCCTGCTTTGTTTTGGCCTCATGTTGGGCCCTGGAAATCGTGGACGAGGTCGTCATGAAGGGCAACATCGTGTTCGGACCGTCGTCTCTGAGAAACGACTCGAGTCGTGCTTCGTGCTGCATCTTGGTTTGATGGGCTCGAGATCCATTGGGCACGGGGTTTCCCGAGGTGTCCCTATGGTAGTCTTTATCAGCTTAGGCTCTCAGCCATAGTGGGACGCTTATTTATGATATGGTAGAAGGACGAGTGTAAGGATCTATGTAAGTCATACCCCTTCAAAATGGCCCAAGTAGAGATGTTATCCATTGCAACGAGTTTTGGAATGACAAGCGCTTCTAAGGGTTCGCTACCACTGCATATGTGCATGCGCTAGATGTACTCGAAAGGTCGTTTCCACCAAGGTACTGCCCGAAGGTGAGAATATTGGCGGTAAAGGAACTTTGATGTTGAAGGCATAGCTATTGTTCATGTTCGGGATGTTTGGCTTCTTTATAACCTGGTGTGTCTTTCTGTGGCCGTGGGGACGATATCAGAGAACAAAATCTACATTTTAATAGGATCGAAGAGTAGACACACGATGCCCCACAAAAAAGACTCGCTGCCAAGCTGGATTTAAGTGCGGGAAGGGATCCAAGGAACGTATGGTCTCGGGCGCGCAGCATGCATAATCTGCCTCATGCAGGATTTGCTGCGGACCCTGGCTGCCAAAAAAAAAAAAAAAAAAAAAAAACCCCCCGTTTATTCCCCCCCTTCTGGCGTAACCTCCTTATGTCATGCACCATGGCTTCAGAGTACCTATCCAGGTTCCTCTTGTGATTTTGACACCCGTTCCTTCGTTTCTACTACCTCGGATAAGGCCTTACACTATCTCATTGTCCCGCACTTGCGTGCTATCGGATTTAGCTCATCACTTCTGTGTTACGGTGTCTAGCAACATATAAATGTTCCAAATTGAGTCCGAGTTTGCTAAGGTACGGATAGTCAAAATAGCCAAGCCCTTACTCGTCTTTTGCATGCCTCTATGGACTTCGCGGCCGCACCCATGGGCGGGCATCTGTAGCTACGTATTTATTTTCAGTCAGAGATTTGTTTCCAGGCTACGTCTCCCTCTCGCCTACTTTCTGGACTCAAAGCTGCAGATTATTGGCTAGGCTTACGATTACGATTGATGTAAAGCATGAGATACTTCGAAGGACTTCAACGGTGCTCCAATTGGGAATTGGGGAAATTATCGTCAACCAAAGCCAGAATGGAGATTTCGACTGTCCTTTGGCAACTAGGTATCGATGGGTTTGCTTTGGTTCACGTCGCCTGCGACGATGAGCTCGCACAGGGCCGCAACTTTGCCCCGGAAATAGATGTAACGTGCATCATGGCCACAGAAGCTGCTGTCCTCTCCACTCGGTCGTCATGTAGGAAAGATTGTTGTCTAGTAAGGCATTTACATGAAGATGAATTCGAAGATTGAGACACGTGATGGATGTCACAAAGCGCTCCCACCTTTGCTGGGAGCCCTATCGCAGCTATCAACAGCACCCGCTACGTGCTATTACAGGTTTCATGGAGTGTTCGAAATGATATATTATTTGATGTAATGCCAGTCTGCAAAGCTTGGCCGAATGTTGTAGATACAGTATCTCTTCAAGTCATCTGCAAGCTGCGGTCGAGATTTCTCCCAAAGCTCGTGCGAGATGCTCCTTCGCCACATTGACCGTCAAGCTACATGATTTGTTCAATCGCTACACAGGTAGAGTCCGTACTAGACGAATCGAGAATTTCATGTGCTTTCTCGGTCGCCGTGGGTGATCGCATCACCCTTTGCGAGTGAGTTATCGACACCATCTTCTTGAAAGAGTCCAAACGGAAGGCTACTCACACGACTCTTGGGTCTTTGAGGTCGAAGTCGGTACGTAGGAGATGGACAGGCGGCCTTGCCTTAGGGACATCTGCGAGGATAAAGTGGTCCTTCAACGGATGGCATTGGTGCACTTGATCGTCTCCATCTGATAGGCGATCGCGCCCTTTCAAAATCTTCAGGCACATTACGCTTCCTGTGGTTCGCAAGACAGGACAGAAGGCGTCGAAGCCGAGCGAAAAGCGTAGGCGATTGAAGCTGTACACTGACCAGGCAGCGCGAAGAGCGTATGGGGGCAGATAAGCAACATTCCCCCCTCAGCTTAGGTCTCAAAACTAACCACTCATTACGAGGTCCTTCCCCTTTGTGAGGGTGATGCTGTCATTCAACAGCCTCACTTGCACCGAGAACACATGCCACGTCGGCCTGTTTCATTCTTCGGTGTGAGATCTGGCGTATCATATCACTTTACCAACAGCGAGCTCAGTTTCAATTTCAGCAACAGATCGTTCGTTTTGCTCATGTGGCCTCTTTGGGTAAAGGGGTTGCGGGAGGGTTGCGGCTTTTACTTGACAGCGGCCGCCTCAGTGCAGGCAGGCGTTTGCCTGGTTTTTTGCGAAAATGCCTACAGCAAAAAGGAGGGAAGTTGGGGTAACACAAAACAGCCCATTCTCACCGCTCGATTTTACAGCGCTTACATTGGCTGATGGCTCTGAGCCAGAAATCTTTACAACCCGCCTCTAGCTTGGCGATGGGTTGCGTGGTTCGCACTTCAAATGGTTCGCCAAAGCAGCCGGAAGTTGGGGTCTTCATCGTCTCCCCTTCTTTTTTCTCCTCTAAACTAACGCAACGATGGGCCAACTACAAGGTCGGTCCGCCAATATTTAATCATCTTCCATTCTTCACAGCACTTCTTCTGGAATCACTGACTTAGGAAACCCGGAAGAATCTGCAGTCGGCGAGAACCGAGAAGTTCGGATTCTGGTGTCGTTTTGCCTCCCTCTATCGAATTGGAGATTCCCGACTTTCGAAATCGGTCCCGGCTCTTTGAGTGTCAAACCGTCACAATTCTCATTCTTTGAACAAAACGAACCGGCAGTGACGTCTGCTTGTCGAGCACCTCTCAACATACAAGAGGTGGTCGGACAGTTCGAACAGCCTAAAACTCGATCTCAAACGACAGACTCGACAAATTGAGGTAACGCCTTCACCATGGCATTCCCACGATCCAGGTTCTTTTTCGCGCCCATCCACCATGACAAGCGGCATCATTTCATGCCGTGTTGGGTGACTCCAAGAACCGGCCAGAAGGAATTCGGGAACAACTGCCACTTCTGCGCTTCAAAAGTCGACCAAATGTCGTCTAGGTACACGATCAAAAAAGAAACAACGGCAGCGCGAAGATCAGATCAACAGATGTGGCATCTATCCGCTTACTTCTTTGATTCATTTTATTTAATAAGCTCAAGTCGAGCCCACCGAAAGCGCCCCGTCAGGAATTCCTGCGTGTCGTCACTGATATCGCGGCTTCACGGTATCGAATGCTTAGTTGGACAGATAAAGCTCTCGAGCTATTATCACGCTCTGCGCCGGTAGCTCTTGGAGCTTTTGACCCCAGAACTTCTGCGACGGCTGAGATACCAAGCTGGATTCGCCTTATCAAAAATGCCGTGAAATTCGCTACACTTTGGGACGGCTCGAGTCAGCACGTAGGCTCAGCTCTGTGATATCCTATTACCACCAAATATCTCAGCTGATGAATCAATTATTAAGATGTGCCAGAATGCAACCAACATAGTAACTATACATGTATGTTGCTGGTATACGTTGTTAAAGTCAAATCCCCGGCTGCTTTCAGCGTAACTAAAGTTAGACATGTATGCGGTGACAACCAATGTCATCACAAACCTCCACATGTACCGCGTTCCTTGTACAATGACAAGAAAATGGGGTGTCTGGTGGAAGAACATCCTGTCAAACTCAGGTAGGAACAACGGGACTCGTCAGGTCGATCGCGGTCAAATGTTTTGAAACTACAGCCGAAGAAGACTAGTTGTTTTGAATATTCTGATCTATTGAAGCTCTAGTAATGACTCATAAGGTCTTGATTCCGGGGAGCGCTACCCATGATGAAAAGAGACGCATCGGGGTTGTGGCAAAGTCGTGTCCGCGTGGCCCGGCCGGCTTGCCCCACTATCACGGGAGCCCCGAGTCCGGCTCCGGTGGTGGTCCGCAGAATCGCGTGACCGCCGTGTCGTCATGCCAAGTATGCCATCAATCATACAACTAGTGAATTGAACCAATTTTAATCTTCTTAACTATTGAGGCGTCAGCGTGAAATAAGGACAGATTCGCAGACGCAGTCTTACCTTGAAGCCTTGTGCATTGGTCGCCCGGTAGCTATCCTAATTTATTGTAGCCGACCACATCACTCTTTGCCTACATGAGAGATCCCTTGAGTATTGTGTCTAATGACTTCTTGTCATCTCCCAGTTTTTTCAAAACCTGTCTGATAGCGGATCTTCTAGCAACATGTTGGCGTTCGACCGATTCCGTTGGCTGCTGCAACAGAAACAAGGGATCGTCACGACCCGCCAAGAACCAGATTATGCGCTCGTTCTGGAGGACCTTGGCCTCTTCTCTACGTTCATTTGTGTTGGAGATATCTAAATCGCTAGAATAAAGTCAATCAAATCGACGTCACCTTGACAAGGACTTAAAATATGTTTCGCGGCAAGACCGTGGGACTTACGTACCCATTCGCGACACTTTGGTTAGATATAGTGTCCATAAGGCGTACTAGATGGCGGCTGTACCTAAATTCGTCTTCAATAAGAAAGAACGCATACCTTCAGGAAGTGATATCGTCTTCCGCTAGAAACTTGGCGCACTCTTCGTACTTTATACGAGGTATATTGCCATAGCGAGCCATAACTTCGTAAACTCGAGTTCTGCTAGTCAAATGAGAATCCAAGGAAGCTTGGTTGAGAGTCGAACATTAAGATCTCGGCATCTCTTGGTGGTTGTCGAATGATGTGTAGTTGGCTGCATGCTCCTGGGACTTTGCGCCTGCAGCACTGCTCCCTTCCCCCCGCTCTGCAAAGATGCCTTGTGTCAAGCGCCCGTCCGCTTTCAACATCTTCCGCGATTGGTCTCCGGCACTACAAGCCAGCTGAGAGCCGCGAGGCGACTATGCACGAACTGCCTCTCAGGTGCTTCGGCGACGAGCACAAGACCCATGCGCTCATGAGATGGCTCGGAGCATCGGTTTTTTGAGATTTCTTGGCTCCCAAACATACATGCTCCTCTCAGTGACCGGGGTTTTAACTGCGGAAGCAGCCCGGATGGTAGGTCGGCGGGATGACAGGGCACAACGCGATCTTGCAGATTCCAAGACATTTACGTAAAATGGAACCTATATGCGTTGGCTCAATGTAAAATTTGTACGTTATTGCATGGATTGGTCGCAATCCTGAGTGAAAAGCAAGAGAGTCCAGAGCCATCCAATTTGGGACACTTTAGATCGCGACTTTCGTGGGACGTGGAGATAACCAGAGATAGATAGAGCGTACTCAATCTTTCTCGGAACCGCATCATCGTTCGTCAAATAATCATCAGAGAATCAGCCAAGTAGGGTACTTGTCGATAGGAATCACCACGATATCCAAGGCGGGATGGAATGGAGAAGGAACTATCATGGGATGTGTGGAGTTACCTGCCTTTCGCACGCAGATGCTTCATCGCACGCCAAAGCAAAAGAAATCGAAGGATCAAGATGCATCATTGCAGGCTACGAAAGCTGCATGCGTGCGGGCACATGAGGTCTGCATCATTGCGGGCGTTGAGGCGAGGTGCTGAAATTGAGGCTCACATCAATTCAGCTTCGGGGAACGGTTTGGCCAGACAAAGATCTACTGTCTAAAAAGGAGACCGAGACGTCCCCAAGGCTCGGTATTCGGCGGTACTTCTGGGATGGTCAACAGCTCCGCAAGAAACCTTGCCACTCAGCACATCATCAATGCCTGAACACATCACCTGCCGTGGATTGCGGGCGCAACTACTCCCGAGCTCTACGACGGCTGGTATATACGGCTGCAGACCATTGCGGTCACGGTCATTTTCTGTTGAAGTGCCCGGTCGGATGAGAGTCATGAGTCTTGGAAGATGTTGGTGATTCTCTTCGGCAGTGAAAGCGTGCCACGTATGCTCTTCTAAGAAGCACTGGGTTGGTCTTCCTCTTCCTTGGTTTCAGGTTTCCGGCCCCAGACAGAGTATCTGATGGTTCCATTAGAAAAGTTCTTAGTGGAGTACGGGCTTGAGCTCCGGTACTTACACATCGTAGTATGCATGAACGCCAATCTTCTTATGTTCGTTTCTCACTTCAGCGCAGAAAACACTTGTTTCTTCTGGGCTCCAATCAAGGACGCGAGTAAAGACAGCCATGGAGATGGCTTCGACACCCATCATGGTAGAAGCTTGGCTCCACGAGCCCAAGTCCTTGAGCTTCTCATCCTTTGGCCAAGGATTGAAGGGCCACTTCTCTCTTTTCTCTACAACATCGACAAACCCTGCGTCCTCAACCAGCTGCTTAAAGTTCGCGGCAACAGTGATCGGTCGTTGGATCTTGTTGGTCGCCTCAATAAGTAGCTTGGACCACTTCAAGGGCTTGAAGTCGTCCGGCATAGTGTCGTCGTCACATTTCAGAGGAAACGTGTTGTCCTGTATCTCTAGGTACCCGCCTGGTTCGAGATTACTGCGATGATATCAACATGATTGTTAACCACAACATCTAGATTCCAAGTTAACTTACTCGTAGGCTTTAGCTATCATATCAGGCCAACTAGCAAAGCTTGAGATCATGGATCGAAAGAAGATAAAGTCAAATTCCTCCGACCACGTCCATTCCTTCTCGATGTCATCGACTTCAAAACTGCAGTTGGGCGGTACACTGCATAAAATCAGTCAGAAGATGACTTTGGCTTCAGGTTCGGGAAAGTACTGACAATCCAGGCTGTATTGGGCTCAAGTCCACGCCAATAATCTGTAGTTGCTTTAGCCGGGTTCTTCCATCCAGTTACACTGTAGTAGTAGCTCATACGGTAGCCTCAGGATGATCATCCGCTGTCCTCAAGTCAGAAAGAGCAACAAAGCTTCGTGATGGTTTACTGACCATAATCCAGCGCCCAGACCCCTGTGCCGGTACCTATATCAAGAACTCGTCTGGCGCCATTTTTCTTGGGACAATTGCAAAGATTGTTATCCCAAGTCGCCAACCATAGGTTGTGCGTCAAGTCTAAGCAAATGTTACCCTCACGTAATGACCTAGTAGAAGGTGATTGCTCTTACCTAGTCGATCTTGTTCCCTCTAAGAAAAATCCCAAGTTAGTTACACTTCGTCACCACGTAACTCGTAGGTTGGTACCTCATCATTAGGGAGAACATATTCTATGACAGGACGACAGGTCGTTAGTCTCTTCGAATTCAGACATAGTGGAGGTCCCCTTACTTCCGTCGCTGAGCCGATGGTATGTGCGACCGTTTTCACGGCGGTAGTCGAGGATACTAGACCGTACAGAAACCAACGAGCTTTCAATTGACTACCGACGATTAGAATCAGTTTGTCTTCCTCCATCAAAATGACCCAACTCACAGAACTGCTGTCTGAATTAGTGTCGTCGTCGTTGTGGGGGGTCTGGCAAATGTCAGTGTAATTTACTTCATGCGCGATTGCAATTGACATTACCCCAGCTTCAGGCGGTGGCGTTTGGTCGGCCATGATGACACAGATAGCTTTCCCACAGCACACTCAACGTGGAAAGAGTGAACCAAGTTGAACAATTACATACCTCGGAATGGGGGGGAACAGTCCCATTTAATGTCTCCTTGTGTCCTTCCTGAAGCAGAAGAAGACCTCTTGTTGGTTTCGCAATGACCATCCGCCACACCCCGCTTCAAGGTCTGTTGGATCGAGTGAAATCATGATTGTCACCTTTTGATTGGGTCAGACCCTTTGAATGAGCTCGCCTGCATATGCAAGGTGGTCGGGACCAGTGTTGAATTTACCCGGTTGACCAGAGTACATCCAAGTTAGAATGCCAGATGCGTGACAAAATAGGATGCCGGTCAACAAGAGATATAATATTGATCTGCCTAGGTATTATTTCTAACTTTCTTGTTCTCTCGGGTATTTCTCTTTTCTTCAATATTTCTATCGCTTTCCTCTTCTATATAGGTATTCATCAGGGAATACTCGTCGAAAGAAGAATATAAATTAGAACAGTAGAAGAATAGCCGGAGGACCTAGAGCGGCGAACAACTATGTCGTTTACTTGAGTGCAAACAGGTTGCTAGATTTGATGGCAATTTATACCATCGCTCTTCTCAAGTGCTTTTTTTTTCCAGCATACGCCGCATACGTGGCATACTGGAAATGAGAAAGGCGAGGTAGACGTACCAGCAGCGGATTCTACTGTCATTCACTTTCATGGAAAGGCCGAACGGAAGACATCGTATTTTTACCATAGCACATTCCAAACGTAAGCTTAGGAGCCCAAGTCTCGACATTCCAAAGCATTCACTGCCCTTAGAAGATCTCTCATCTATCTGAGAGTAGGTATTCCTGCTACTTAATTGTGACAGCTAAACTCAGACAGCACTGACACCGGCAGGCCCCTCTTGAGACTCATCCTGCTTCTCAGGCTTCCGACCCCAAGTTGCATAACTAGAGGGCAAGTCAGTTAATGTGTCTCACCAAAAGAAGGGATGTAGACTTACACGTCGAAGTAGGCGTGGATGTTTTGTTGCCTTAACTCTTCCCGAGCTCCGGCGCAGAACACCACCGTCTCCTCCCGCGACCATCCTAGAACGCGAGTAAATAGAGCAAGAGAGAGAGCTTCCAGGCTTTCCATGGTGATAGATCGGCACCACATGCCCAGCTCATGCTCCTTGGTACCCCTCTCAGGCCAGGTGCCTATAGGCCAGATCTCCTTCCTCTCTTGCACATCCTCGAATCCAGCGTTTTCAAGCATCTTCTTGAACTTCGGAGCATCATTAAGCGGCTGCCCAATCAAATCAGTGCCCTCCATGATCAGTTTCGACCACTGGTAGATAAGTGAATCTTCCGGCATAGTACCGTCGGTGCAGAGTAAAGGAAAGACATTGTCCTGAATTTCCAAGTATCCGCCAGGTTCGAGATTTCTGTGTTCCCAGAGTATCAGTTCCATTTTGAAGCGGTATTGTCATGAAAGTTTTTGACTTACTCGAAGGCTTTAGCGACGAACTCTGCACGATCCTTGAATGCAGCATTCATGGACCGAGAAAAGATGAAGTCGAATGCCTCTGACCAAGTCCACTCTTTCTCAACATCGTCGACCTCGAACTGGCAATTCGGCGGGACGCTGTTTCGTCAGTACGCTAGCTTTCCGCCCAGCAGATCGGTGTTGACTAACAATTTAGGTTGTATAGGGCTTAGGTCAACGCCGAGGACCTGCGTTTTCTTGGTTAGGTTCGCTCAAATCATGATTCGGTGCACGATGAGAGAGCTCACAAATGATTCCGGATTATCATCCGCTTCAGTGGCTTAGCATAGTGACAAGCTATTGCGGGTTACTCGGTGGACTTACCGTAGTCAAGAGCCCAAATACCAGTCCCGGTTCCAACGTCAAGAACTCTTTTGGCGCCAGTCTTCTTGGGACAATTGCATGGCTCACCATCGTAGGTCAACTTCCACAGATGATGAGAGAAATCTGTCAATAGCAGTCAGTGCCACGGATACTTCTTGAGAAGGGTTGGTGTTGAGACTTTACCCAGACGGTCCTGTTCTTGCTACTTTGTGGATCAGCATTCACCTTATTCTCACACGTTATGATAGTTACGACGCACCTCGTCATTTGGAGCGAGGTAGCCTAGCACACAGCCTGTAAGTGATGGGTCAAGAATCAAAGCCGCAGAGAACTACTTACTACCATCGCTCACCCTATGGTATGTGCGGCCATTTTCTCTACGGTAGTCCAGAATGCTGGATCGTAAGGAAGCTGTCGATTCCTCAACAGACTATTGTCTGTGAGCCGGGAAATCTCATCCAAGAATCCAACCTGCTTACAGATACGCCTATGGATGAGGTGTCATCATCAGTCCTGTCATCCTATCGGTCGAATTAGCATGTTAATCCATCGAATCTTAAAATGGAGGGCGTTGCGCTCACCTCAGCGGGATTTTGCGCGTTTTCAGCCATGTTTTCCAGTCAATTCACGCCAAATTCTTCGGTATTGTCGAGTTGTAGTGTCAGGCTTGGAGTGTAGTTGGCAAGATTGAGGGGAAAGAAAGAAAGTCGAATGTTGCGTCGTGGCTGTTGGGACCGAGGTAGTATCCTTCCTTTGCACTTCCAACAACCAACAAACAGACCCGCTTGCAGGTGCTTCCAGATGCGTTATTCTACTCCGTGATTGGCCTGCACTGTCTTCGTCAAATATCGTCTGCATATTGGCGAGCTATTCGACAAGGGTCAAGAAAGTGAGTCCCATAACACACATGGGGTTAGATTCAGTTTACCTTATCCAAGCTGGTAGGTGCAATGTCCCTCCCTCTACAGAAACATCAATTAAATTCAAAGACTCGTTTAAAGCTCCTAAAGTCTTACGGAGCTCCAATATGGCTCTTTTCAATGGTTGAAATTTCTCAATTTTGTACTTCGGCAGTCGTCTACCTACAATCCGCAGCGATTCAGATTGGAGACTGCTTTGCTTTTGAACGAGGTCTAGATAGTATTATGAAGTAAGAAGCACTATGCTGTGTCATGTCTAATTAGGTAGTCTCTGGCCTTGCTTTCTTCTCAGGCTTCCGACCCCAGGCAGCGTACCTAATTAGAGCGGTTAGCTAACCCGAATTTTACGGGCCATTGTCAGTCGGAGACTACTTACGCATTGAAGTAGCCGTGAACCCTTTGCTGTATCAATTCCTCTCTGACCCCTGCGCAGAACACCAAAACCTGCACTCGACTCCAGCCAAGGATCCGCGTGAATAGGGCCATGCAAATCGGCTCAAGACCTTCCATGGTACCCTCTCTACAGCAGATTCCTAGCTCCCTCTGCTTTGGATCCTTTTGCTGCCATGGGCTAATGGGCCATTTCTCATGGCGTACCTGGACATCTTCAAAGCCGGCATCCTCGAGCAATTGCTTGAAGGTAGGCGCAATAGTCATTGACTTCCCCGCAATGTTCGTAGCTTCGATAACGAGCTGAGTCCACTTCAGGACTTGAGAGTCTGCGGTCATGGAACCGTCATCACAGAAGATAGGGAACTCGTTGTCTTGGATCTCAAGATACCCCCCCGGTTCCAAGTTGCTTAGAACTACGGTGAGCTAAAGTAGAATCTCGTCCATGCCCTAGGGAGGAGCACTTACTCGTAGGCTTGCTTGATGGTGTCGGACCAGCTTTTGAAACTTCCAACCATTGATCTGATCATTATGAAGTCGAAGAGCTCTGTCCAAGTCCATTCTTCCTCAAGATCATCAATTTCAAAGCGGCAATTGGCTGGAACGCTTTGGAGAACGGTCAAAATATGGCCCTTCTCATGCTGCCAACGACGAACTACTCACTAGACGGGTTGGATGGGGCTAAGATCAACACCAATAACCTGGCTTGCCTCGTCAATGGAATTCCACACATCGGAAAAAGACATTTTTGACATACTCTTGCTTCGGGGTGAGCTTCCGCTGTTACATCGTTAGTAACTAGATTTGAGACCCGTGTTAAGGTATTCTCAAGCCATTCCACCTACCGTAATCAAGGGCCCAGATGCCCGTCCCAGTTCCAACATCCAAGACTCGTCTGGCGCCCTCGAGTTTAGGGCAATTACACAACTTGCCGTCCCATGTAATTATCCACAAATGGTTGGCGAAATCTATAACGGGTTGTTGGATTGCTCGTCCAAAATCTAGGAAGCAGACTGGCACGCACCTAGACGATCTTGTTCCGCCTACTGAATAAGTCGGGGCAACTCCTCGAGATACGAAAGATATCTCACCTCATCGTTTGGAAGGTAGTACTCTGTTCGATGGTCTCAGCAAGAACTCATTAGAGCTAACGATCGCGACGGACTTACTCCCATCACTGACCCTATGATACGTGCGTCCATTTTCCTTCCGATAGTCAAGGATACTCGACCGCAAAGAAAACAGGGAATCATGGATAGACTGGTTATTATCAACATCGCGGAAGTCGGCTATCTTTGCATGAGATACTAACATTGCCACTTGTAATTGAGGCGCCGTCGTTGTCTCGAGAATTCTGTCTACCATATTAGCCCAGATCATGTATTCGAACTTCTGTCACAGTAGCAATCGTACATATTTCGGAACACTGTCGTTAGTTTCGGCCATAGTATGCTTAAAGATTGCGCAGCTTGCATATGTCGGTCCGAAGAAGAGAACGGCTTCAAGAGGACACACTGGATCAAGTTTGAGGGGAAAGACCGGGTTAAATGCTGCTTCCTGGTCGAAGCTGTTGGCAGCGAGGTGACCCCCGTTGTGTACCCACAAGGTATCATTACGGCGCAAGCGCCAGCAACTCCACTTTGTTGGTTTCTTGGATTTCGTTCTGATCGAATGATTGGACTGAATCTCGTTGGTCAACCCATTTGTGTATGCACCAGCTTGGTTGGTCGGTCTTTGAGCCTGATCTGGCCGGAACGGCGGAAATGCAGGGGGTCTTTAGGGAAACATAGTTGGCAACAAACAAAGTGATATGGATGTGTTCAAGGTCCATGCTAAGCGCCCCACTCGAAGAGTAATTGAACCCATCAAGAGCGCGCATACGCACCAAAGCGCCTCTGTCCTTAGAGATGCAGCCTTGTGTCCGTTTCCCACTGCAATCATCACGGAAGAATGTATGTCTATGCTTAGACTAGGAGATGTCATGATCATATGGTAAAGAAGGGGAGTTGAAATTAGGATCGATTGGAGACTAGAACAGCCCAAAGCCTCAACTCTTCTCGGGTGAGACCTTCCCTCGTGTCTTCATGGCTATATAGATCTTGACACTGATGTCGCGGTGCGGAATACACCTGCAGTTCGCGTCCCTCCTGACTCTTGCGAAAGCTGTTCCGTGCTTCTTCGACGTCAAATGCGTGAGCAACGATCTAGGTGAAATATTCTGTATGGAATGACCCAAAGCTTCTCGCTCCAGCACTCGTATGGTAGCCCGACTTCAGCCACTCCCGTAGTTTACCTCAGTGGAGCTGGGCTTGTCGGTTGATGATTCCGTTGCATCGTCTGGCTTGTGCTTTGCAAAGCTCTGCTGGAAGGTTTTGATGGCTCTAGTTGCTCGGCTTTTGTGGTGATCGATGGCAGACTTCAAGTCCCGAGGATTGTGGGAGAGAGGCACGAGAGTGTTGCCGTCTTGGAGGTGTTCCTGCTGGAAACGAGCTAGCTGAGATTGTCGAGGTATATGATTATCAAGAGGGTTGATCCGAAGATGAGCGTCACCACTGGGTTAGAGATATGTCAACACAGTCTTTTCAGTGGAGGAGAAAGAGCTTCAACTTACATCCCATGATCAGGACTAGAACCAGGAGAAGACATGGTCGCGATTCAGAGCAACGAATGAGATACCTCAATGAAGTTATTACATTGAATCTTGGTGATCTCAACTTTCTGGGTCAATGTCGTCTACAATACTGGTGAGGGGAGGGTCTTATACAAGATCAAAACCTTGGCCAAGTGCGGCTGGAAAGGCTGCATACAACGGCAGTCATATCAAGGTCAACAAGTTTGGGACGGACATGAGCTACTGGCGGACTGCCAATGCTTTTCTCGAAGCCAAATTAACTTGAGCAAGAGCCGTTGAGTTCTACATTGGAAGAATAACACAATGGTCCGCCGGCGACCCGCGGCCGTTCGCACATGGGCTCGACTTAACCGCCATCTCACCGTCACCGGTGATTTGCCCCAGACTGGAGATGACCAGCTTCGCATACTGCTTCACACCCCCTTGTCGTACCGGATCCAACTTGGCTTGCTCCTCCTAAGGCTGCGGGCCGTTACACCCACTTCCAGCGTCCCAGAAACCCGGTGCGTGGCAAGTCGGGAGGCTGTCTAAGCCCTTCATGGTATCGTCCCCGTTCGAGAACCCCTCAGGCAGTCTTCTTTCGTCCTTCGAGAACATGCAAGAACACTCGACACCTTCCTTTAGGAGAAGCTCGTGTGTCGACTATAGAAGAATATTCTTGGAACCGGGAACAATACTGGTCACATATTGCCCAACATGCATGGTATAAGCCACGGCGATCTTGAGGGATAATCTCGTGGGCTCCACCACATGGTTCTCGGAGGTCTCCAAGGCGCTAATAACACGGCACCGGCATTCAATGAGACGTTGCACAGGTCTCTTGTCGGGGAAATGAGGTCCCTGCCGGCGGTTGAGGTCGGAGCCACTACGGAAAGTCCGTTACTGTCTCCGGAGTGATTGTGGCTGGTGGTCTGCAGCTAACAAATCCAAGGGCTTCAATGGAAGCTTCACCGTGCATGATGTGGCTAGTGCTTCTGGCTGGTTGGCCGACATGGTGCTCGAAGGCAGAAACGACAGGCAACCAGCCACAGTTTGGCCATGTGGTGTCTCTGTAATCTGATTTGCGGGAATCCGAGCAATGAAGTGATGGTTGCTGAGCCGCTCACTATGCTCGATTGATTCGGCCCTGGAGAGGGAGGGGTACATCGCGTTATGAGGGACATTCCTGCCACCACCCTGGTTTGTCGCTCTTTTCTCGGTGCTACATTGGCTAATGTTACACGAGGATTCTGACCAGTTACTTAGCAGCTTGTTTGAAAATTGAAGGAATGGCAGATCAAGTTGTAGTATTCAATTTCAGGCCGAGGCCGAGGCCTCGAGGATCCAGCTGCCACGCCTCGGTGGTAAGCAGCTATTCGATCCTCAATTCATTCCCAACTCTTATCACGAGCCTCGAAGCCATCCCCTGGCCTGTTTCGAAATCGAAAGGGTGGCTGATAGACGGTTGGATGGCGGCGGCCGCCGGCAGCGAACGAAGAACTTCTCAGCCACATCCAACTCCCGCCAATTGAAGATACGCTTAGGCTCTAGCCACCGAGGCAGACTTTATGGGACAGTTTGACTCCAAGCTATTCAATGCGGATGATACCTGTAGAGCTTGAAGATTTGCCGTACCTCTCACGGCTACGCGGCATGATGGGCGCTGGTGTGGGAAACGAGGTGGTCTCCGTGATGTGATATGAAGTTGGAAGAATCGCCCACAATTGAGTTCCAGGTGTCTTAGGAGACCCCAATCATGGTCCGCGGGGAGGTCTCGGGCGATGCCGCCTTGTGGCAGGTGTTGCAGGTGCATCAAATGGCTCGTGCAGCCAATTGAGCTCCCCTGTTCCACGCAAGTCCCAACGCCATCTTCGCCTGCACAACTCCCCTGCCTCACGTTGACCACCTTACCAGAATAGGACGAATCCCCGCGAGATGTATCTGACAGCAGGCATCTATTCACGAATGGCCTCATCAGGCACACCATGATGGGATATGTCAGTCAAAATCTCGACTAGGTGACTACCGTGTGCTTTTTGGAAGGGGCCTAACAAGCTAGCAAGATGCTCGAGGAAGCACTGCCGCTGTATGAACCCCTCGATGCTGGCAAGTCGGAAATCAGGCTTCTCGAATATGTCAGCTTCTCTGGTCAGCCGTCTCTGAGACTCAGATCTGTATCTCTCGACGTCAAGCCTGTATACACAGCCCTATCATACGTCTGGGGAGATGCTTCCATCACTGAGCCAATCTTTTTGAACGGCCAGGAGTTTCAAGCAACCAAAAACCTCTTTCACGCTCTTCAGTATCTCCAAGATCATTGGATAGACACATTTCCTGGCCGACATCCGCAAGGCTTCAGAGTCTGGGTGGATGCCCTTTGCATCAACCAAAAAGATGTCGCAGAACGAAATCAGCAAGTGCAACTGATGCGCCGAATCTACGCGCGTGCCGAGCTCGTGTTCTCGTGGCTCGGAACGGAGACCAAGGAGATTGGCGCAGCATTTGAAACAATCAACCTGGTGGCTCATGAAATGGGCAAAGTCGTAGGACAACGCCACATTGGATCAGTCGAACCGCACGAACTGATCAGCTGGATGCAAGATTGGCCACAGCTCATCTTGGCTGACATAGAACCTGAAAACGACTGGCATTCCAATCAGTCGTGGAAGAGCATGCGGTCTCTTTTCAACCTACCGTACTGGTTTCGCGTATGGGTCGTTCAAGAGATTGTCCTCGCAGAGAACCTGGTTCTATTGTCTGGGAAGTCTTCTATTGACTGGATAGCGCTTTTCCTCACATGCAGTTGGATTGAGAGGTTGAAAGAGGTCCGAACCTACTTGCAGAAGCCGCTATGGATGGTAGAGTCTGCCTGGCTAAGCATCACGTCGTCCGATAGGGTGCCATGGCACAATCCCATGCGGCTCATGAAGGCGAAGCACCTGCACAAAAGACCAGAAACGCTGAGTGCAGACGATTGGGAGAGCTGGGGCTGGCAATTGATGAGCTGGAACCACACCCTCGCCGCCACCGACCCCAAGGATAGCATTTACGGCTTGCTCGGTCTCACCAAGTTGCCCCTGATTCCCGACTACAGTCCGGACGTCTCGGTCGCTTCGGTATATATCGAGTACTTTGCTCAATACCTTGCATTCTGGAAACGAACAGGACAAGGCAAAGAACTTGAACTTCTCCCAATGGCTGGCCTACACATGACTACGGGCGCGACTCCACCACTAGTCAAGGCAGGCCTCCCGACGTGGGTTCCAAACTACCCATACGCATGGAGAGAACCCAATAGGTCGTTCGAACCGATCACAGGCGATGCTGATAATGGGGTATTCGGGTCAGATGTCCCAGATGCGAACATCTCGGGCAACAGGCACTTACTGGTGTCCGGCATTCGTATCGGCGAGGTACTTCGCAACCTGCCGACGCCAACATTATTCGATACTGAGCATAAGCTTGTCAAACTCATCGAACAGCTGATAACCAGCAATACTCAGTTCCCAAATGGGATGACTGCGCAGGAAGCCGTATTTCGCGCGGTGTTTGAATCAGGCGGTCGTGGTGAAGCTGTCCTCTTCCGGTACCCTGAAGCCCGAGCTGAGATGGCTCTCGGCTTCTTATTTCACTTGATGTACATCGATCGAGAATTCGCAGGTGAGCCTTTAGGACAGGGCCTGTTCGAGCTACTCGGCCTAGACGACAGCAACAGCGAGGCGTTCAATAACAGCATCTCGAAAGCATTCATTTCTAGCCATGGCATCGACGGTCCATGGCTGGAAAGACTCGTAGAATGGGATCCAGAGGATGACCTTTCACCTGAGGTTCACGACCAGGTGAAGTCGGGTGTGACCGCCTGGGACTGGCGTGACCGCAGGATGTTGCAGATAGGAGGAGGCGGGGACAACTACATTGGCGTGTCTCGGCAAAACATGGCTGAAGCTGGGGATGTCGTATGTGTACTAAAAGGGTCTTCGGTGCCTGTTGTCTTGAGGAAGACTAAAGGTGAAGCGACTTGGAGCTTGGTTGGTACGTGTTGGGTAGCCGGGATGATGTATGGTGAGGTGAAGACTAAGCTCGATGACGCTTCCGTGAGTGTGGAGAGATTTGAACTACATTAGTCGGGGATCTCAGCAACATCAAGACGCCAGACATGAGAGGCCACGATCATCATGTAATCGCTCCGTTCTCTTGAAATACGCTTAAGACACTTTGCGGAATAGTTTGCGCGAAGATTTGCCCCTGATCCATCTCTCATGTCATCATATTGGTGATACCTACTTTCCTCATCTCATGTAAAGCTTCAATTTCATCATCACTAACTAAAAGTTACATTATTGGGATAATTCAGCTCACGAAATTTTATTCAAATTAGAGATAATTAACATTAGTAGCTGCGGTAGTGCCTCATAGGTGAATCTCACTTCCACGAAGGCGGCTGGATGGTACTCTGTGCCGTTGGTGCCTGAGTATTCCGTCCGCCCCTGGCCATTCATCCCAAGGCCGTCACCATTGTGGCTCAACCCATAGCCCGCACCCTTCACAGCCATTCAAGTTAGAGCGTCTGTCGGGGTGATGAGAGGGTGCACTTGGCCGAAAGGTTTGAGTGTGTTCTCATACTGACGCATACGACCTTGCCATTTAAAGTCTGTTGTTCGCCCGGGGCGTCGCACTTCAGCAACATATCTTGCCATTTTGTCATTTGCATGCAATTTATTTTGCCTTTTTACCTAAGTGTTATCATATTCTTTGCATGAGCCTTCGCATCTCGAGTATCTGGATATTGAGGTTTCTTAGCGGTTCAATTCCCGTCGTGGGTAGAAATGTACCTGGGATTCACGGTACAGACCGACCCTATCTGAATAAATGGCCAGAAAGGCCGTAAATCAAAGGAGACGAAACATAAATTAGAAAAAGTAATTCACCGATAAGGAACCGAGCCAAAAACTTAAGTGTCAGGTCAGTGGTCGAGGGGGCTGAGATCCACACTCGGGTCTTCCCCCATGAACCCCTCGACCATTTCACCCGAATTACTTAAGTGACAGGAGTGAAGGAGGAAAGAACCAAGTACCCTCTAACCTCCACAGATTCTGGGTTGGCTCAGGGCTGTTCTTGAGTGAAAAAGGGGATTATTCGAGAGACCTTTTTATCGAAAGCGATGCCTCATGATATCCCAGAGTCCCTCGCGACAGTTTGAAAGGGCGTGCGATTACGGCCCTGAGAATCACCCTTCTTCGAGAAGATCCTCACCATGGTCCAGGATGAGAGCCAAACCATCCTTCTGTCTTCAGATCATTCCTCCTTGGTTCTATGCAGGCCGTCCGTATCCTGAGGCTGCTCCAGCGCCCTGACTATAACTATCCGTACTTAGTTCTAACGCGCCACCATAATGCACATTATCCCTAGATCCTTAAATCCTCTTCACCAATTGAACAATACTCAGGAATTCAACATGATGCTGAAAGAAGAAGATGGCCGCTGTCAATGGAGTGGATGAGGACCTGCATCAAATGCACTCACATCCTCCGTCCCGGACCGTACCCGTTCTCGGCCCGGACCCGGAGCGGGGCCGACATCAAAAAAATTGCCCGCTCCTGCCCGTCACGCTGCAAAAGATCCTTCAACGTTCGATTTGTGGAGAAGGTTGCACCCACCGCTGCCCGCAGCAAAGAACACCTCCTCCCCCTGTTCGTTCGATTTCCAGGCCCGCGCACCCGAAAATCCACGCTAAGATAAACGACGATAAGACGTTGAGCACGAGCCAACGAACTCCCCCAGTCCCCAAATTTTTTAGTCGTCCTTCCCGTCGCTTCTGCGCATCTTCTAGACGCCGATCGTTGACAGCCTCAACCTGTCGCAACTCCGAGATCGCCAACGCACTCGTGTGACCAGTACCTCGAGTCTTTGAGGCACCGTGACACTCAAAGAAGTACAGTCACCACACTCTCGAGAATTCTATACCACCTGTACGCATACATCATACACACAATGGCGCCAACCTCTCCGTCCGCCTCCACGGCAGCGCCCAAACTCCCCGCCTCGGCGGACTTCAACGCCCTCTACAACCGCATTTCCCTCGCCTCCACAAAACAAGCAACCTTCATCACCTCAATGCGCGCAAAGTACCCCTCTCTAGCACGATCCTCCTCGAAACCCACATCAGAAATCATCTCCAGCAACCCCGCTGCGCCAGGCAGCTTTTCATCCATGGCGAAACCCACATCCGCAACCGCAACCGCCTCATCAACATCGCAGTCGACAACAAGCCGCCCCCGAGCTCCCGCCGACGACACAGACATCCGCTTCGAAAACCCAAACACGGGCCTCGGCTTCACGACTTCCAAAGCGGACCAGACCACCTCCGCCGCAACGCGGGACCTAAGCCGCCGCCTCCTCGGCAACAAACGGGGAGGCCGCGCCGCAGACGATCCGAAAGCCCTCGCCGCCGCGGCGCTCAAGAAGCGCAGACTTCAAGAGGACGAGAGCGACGAGGAGGAAGGGAGAGGTAGCTGGGGCAAGAGCAAAAAGAAGAAGACCAAAGTCCGTCAGGAGGAGGGGGAGGAGTCTGCCGAACCCGAGGCGCTCGTACACCCAGTGGCACGGGCACGGGGCGATGTCGAGATGCGCGAGGGCGGATTGGATGACACGGAAGATCAAATACAAGACTACCAAGACAGCAAGGAGGATGCCCCGATCCCTAGTCCGATCCAGCCGGAGATAGCGGCGATGGACCCCGCCGAAGGGGAGGAGGCCGATAAGCGACCCGAGACAGACGAAGCCACCAAGGAACGGAAAAGGAACAAGAAGAAGCGGAATAAGGAGAACAAGAAGAACAAGATGGCCGCGGCTGCCGCCGCGGGAGGAGAAGGTAGCGTTGGAGCCGCTCAAAAGATATCAGTGGTATAAGAGAATTCATAATTCCGCACATGACGAGGGCAGACTGCGGATCAGCGACACATTGCGACTCCCTTGGCCCGAGATGCCGGGACATCATCTCGCCAAGAACGCCGCCCTCACCCCTTGAGACCCTCTGGGAACTGCATCTGCGGTAGGCATCAGCGACAAGTCTCGGAAACTGTCGAATCACACAACTGCCGCGGATTGGCTCGTTGTCACAATATTGGTTATTGCATCTTCGTATTAGATCTAGCCAAGGCTCGTTGAGCATGTGCCATCAGGCCATTTACAAGCCACACATAGCTGCTATTCTTGACCAAATACCTCAATATTCAGATGTGAACATGTTTTTTTTTTGAATAAGTTTTCATTCCTCTCGCATCCCAAATGCAGCTGTCGCCAATTACACCCCAATATGGACAGTTTTGGACAAATCTTAACAAACCTTGCCGCCTGACGTCCCTTGGGTATCCCGTCTCCTGAGCTCCGACCGCAAACACACAGCCTCCATCCCAGAGTGAATAATGTGAAATGAGATGTGGGATCCGCACTTTTTCTGTTTGATGAGACGTCATTGTGACGCTGAATTACTAGAGTTGCTGGTTTATAGTATGTTGTTGCTTCACGCAGGTCGGCCGTGATGCAGTAAATAACACATGGTTGATATCAATGTTCAACTTTCTGACGATTGAGGAATCCGGTTGGAAGTCGAGATTGGCCGTCGGTGAATCGTCTTATGTAGTGGCCGTTGGCTTCGTGTGTGTTTCGGGTCTCGATCCTGATACTTTTGGTTGTAGATATGCATCTGTGCAAATCGTGTACTGATCCGAGTATGGTCCCCCTTCCTTCTATACAATGAAAGGAATATTTCCAGGAAATCATCCGATAGATGTGTCTATCTGAAATAGAAATGTACGGGCACGCATCCGAGGAGTGTGCCATGCATGAAGATCCAACGGACGACACCGAAGGAGGCAACAGCTTTGCTTACTGCATACGCTTGCGCTTCCGATCATCGTCACCTCGGGGATCCTCGTCCTCGTCGTCTCGTTCAGCCGTATCAGTCGGGTTGAGAATATGCGCCATACTTCCGCGACGCGTGGGTGGTCCTGAGTGATCCCTGATAGCCAGATTCTTGTTGTCCCGGTTGGCCGAGTTCCACGACCAGTTGCCAAAGGTATCACCACCACCACCACCATTCGAGAAAGGCGCGCCAGGAGGTGTGGCCGGTCGCGATAGAGGCCGTACTTGGGTCGCGTTTTGCAGCGAGTAGGTGGACAACGACTCCCTCAGGCGCTGGTCCTCCGGCGCCAGTCGACTGGGCGAAGATGGCCAAGGTCCAGAAGGCGGTCCTGATGGAGGCCCTGAGGCAAACGGCGGCGGAGCACTGGGCTGCCACCCGTGTGCCCGTATATCAGCCGATGTGTGACGTCTTGCTAAACTTCCAGGAGGCGGCTCAACCTGGGCCAAGGGATGCGGCCCCGGAGGAGGCGGAGGCGGCGCCCCCCGCAAGGGAGATGAGGCCTGTGGCACTGAACCACCACCAACCGATCCACCACCAATCGAGCCATACGGCCTTCGCGTGCTGATCGAAAGATTCGAAGGAACCGGAGGTCGGTAGAAATTCTGCCCTCTGGGCTGGGGAACAGCAAGATTCGCGTTTCGTCTCGGGTCATCTTGGGGTAACTGCCGCGGCGAAACCGGTGCATTCTCCACGTTGGTGAAGTATGCTCGGCTGCTTGAGAATGGCGATTCCTGAGGATCATCAATAGTTCGGAGCATGTCGGCCTGTCTTGCCATTTCCGATTGCAAATTGAGAACTGGTTCGTGTAGTGTTAGTTACCAGCTACGTGGACCGCAAGAGGTGCAACTCACCATCCCGGTGCACTGGGTTGTCGGGACTAGGGACGAGACTGAGCACCGTCCTCGACAACTCTTGGTTGAACTGGAGCAGTCGTGACATTGTCTCCATCACCGCTTGCTGCTTGATATGCATGTAGTGGGCATTCTCTTCACTTCTCTGTAGTCGCATGCTGAGGTCGTACAGCGTATGCTCGAGCCCAGGCATACGCATTTCGGAGCCGTCGCTCGGGGGAGGCATCGGTTCCGCAGGTGTTCCGGGCTGCGAAGGGCTGGGCTTTGAGTTGGGATACTCCCGGTGAACAAGAGCATGACGTGAAGCTCGTCGTTTGATCTCACGTAGTCCAACCAGGTCGCCTCGCTTGAAGTTGCCGTTTCCATGTTTGAATTCCCACAAAGCGGTCTCGGGATTTGTCGTGTGAAAAACGTCGCTTACTGTTGCCTCAATCAGCATTTGACATTTTGTGGTCAGGGGAGATGCTATCGAACCTTTATGAAACCCATACATGTTCAATTGTCTGACAAATGAGGATATGTTGGTGTGTTTGAAATATTGTCTAGTCGATAGTGAGTAGGTGAAGGATATATTCGAAAGCGTATCAACCTACGCTAGAACCTTGGAAAAGTCCGCGGACGGTGACATAACGAAGCTTTCGGCACTCGCTGACCATGATATCAGATGCTGTATACTTGGGTCCTCCAGCATGCTGAACGGTGTTAGCTACATTTCTACTGAACAACGTTCTGGGTTCCTGCTCACCTGTACAACTTGTGTATGAAAGCTGTCTGCACAATCTTTGGCTGGTGCACAGCCGCGGCCGCAGCTGCGGGCGCGGCGGGCATGGCGATCGAGTTATTCGCGGATTGGTCTGTAGGCGACGTGTGCTTGGATGCGCCGTTGGCATCCGTGTCGTTGTGCTTGCTCGAAGGAGAGGTAGAGCTGGCGTTGTTGGAGGAGGTGATCTCCATAGGCTCACCGGGAGATGGAGCAGACATTTGGATGGTCGGGGTCGGGGTTGGGATAGGTACAATGCGATTCGGAATCAGATCGGCATGACCGTTAGCAGGCAGAGGAGCTCTCTGCGGACTCTCAGTCACTGTGGCCATCCCCTCTGTAAGACGTAAGGATCCGGTTAGCACTAGAGACAAGGGCGCGATGAATTGCGAAGAAACGCGGTTTTTGGGAATGGCAGGGAAGACAGGAGAAGGAGTTGGAGCGATATCGAGGGCGGCCGCGGTGGGTTTGAGGAGATGGTTGAGGGGCTTGTCTCACCTCATGGCTTCGCAGAACGGTATAGGCGATGCGGGCGGGTTCTGCAGCGATGCGCGCAGAGAAAGACAACAGGATAGGTCTACCGCGGGAGGTATGGGGTCGGGGTGGCTATTTAGGATCGATTCTGGTGTCGAGTGGTGCCTTTGAGCCCGTTAATAGCTTCGCGAGAAGACTTCCTTTGACTAGGATTGGCGGGAAACGACAGCAACGTTGGTTGAAGCAGGCGAGCGTGAGTGGGTGAGCGGTTTGGGGATTGAAGTGGCCAGCCGTGGTTCGGATCTGCGAGGCAAAGGTCAACAGCAGCAGGTCTCTGTTCCAGCTGCCGACAGGCTTCCAACGTCGGGGGACTGTTAGGTAGACGGATGGGTCTGCTGGAATGCGTCCAGATTGGCAAAGTTGGAGGGAAAAGCTTGGGGTATTCTCCTCGTCCCGATGCGTGGCGGTAGGCTCAGCGAAATAAGGATGCGGGATGCAAGAGAATGGACGTGGAAGTGTCGAAGTTCTAGAGTTCGAAGAGAAGGAGAAGAGTTGCCGAAGGCCAGGGCCGCCGGAAATATGACGACGAATGAGGGACAAGGACGGTGGACTGGGGGTGGGTGGTGGTGCTGATGGTGGTGCTTGTGCTGCTGCTGACGAAGGTTTAAAGTGGCTCGACTAGATCGATAGTCGGTTGGATCTGCGAGAACACAGGAAGAAAGAAGGCCTGATTAAGGAGAGCAAGTACCACAAGAATTGCGGGATGGTGTAAGGTAGCGTGTACTCTAGACTGTGATCCAGCAGTCAGCTTCTGAGTGGCCCCGGTCCAATTGCGGCGTCGATGTGTCAGTCAGTTGGTAAACCCAATGCTTTGAGGTACCTTTGGTCGTAGTTGGGTCAAGGTTGAAGGAGCAAGAGAGGGAGCAAGGACGGTAGATAGCCGAAGAAGCATGTGTGGAAGAAGGAGGCGTGAGAGCGTCAAGTCTCGATTGCTGAGCCCAAGCACAGTAGCAGTATCCGTAATGAGAGAGAGGGAAAGAAAAAGGAGAAGGCAAAAGTAATAGAAATCAAAAAAAGGGATCTTAGGTATCCAATGTCAAATGGCCAAAAGTGGGAGAGAGAAAGAGGGAGGTGTGGCGCCCGTCCCACCAGCAGCACCAAGTGAGGATGTTCAAAATGTTCAGGTCGGGGAAAGTGTCGTTATTGATGGAAGCTTGCTGATTGGGCTGAAGGAGGGGGTGGGAGGGCATCCGCGGGCGTGTGAGATGGACGGCCTTGCAGGGGGCGGGCCCAGGTCGCTTTACCTTGCATCAGCAGCAGCAGCAGTAGGTAGTAGCAGCAGTAGCAGCAGCGAATTTTAGGGGTACAAAGTACGGAGTACCAAGGAGAGCACGGGAGAGCTCCTGCTCGGTCACTGAGTTCTTCTTTCCCACCTTCACCTCGGGCAATCACACTTTCAGGTACGTACAGTTCAGTACCTACCTTACATAGGTACCTCTTCTCAGACATGAGATATCTCACTTCAGGTCCCTCACTCACATACAAACACACGGGACATATTCGTACACAGGTATACACATGCGCTATCTTTGCCTATCTTTCTCTCATCTCACTCACACATGCATACACACGCTGCTGCACACAACAGGGCAGGTGGCACGGCACGACAGAAGATGTGGAATGGAAGATACCGTGGAAGCTCAGGAGAGAAGGGGGAAGGGGGGGGGGTCCGGTCCTCGCCAGCTGAAAATGGGAATGGACAGGTGGGAAAGGAGGAAAAGGTCACATTCAAGCCAATGGGTGGGTGGATATGGCTGGAGGGGGGGAGGGGTGTTTGACGGTCGTCTTGTCCTCGCTGGGATCTCAAGGCGCACCCCCTCCCATAGGGAATTGGATGTGGGTGTAGATGCTGGGGTCCCTAGTGGCATTCTCCGGAACAGGGTCAAAGGAACAAGGTTAAGGCCGATAGATGAGCTGCCAGCCAGTTACTCAAAGTCTCAAAGGCTTCTTCTCCTGCATGTATCACCCCGTACCTCTCAGTATGGACGAATACACCTTTATTGTATTCTTGCTCTGGGCAGTCAACGCACGTCGAGATGGATAGCGCCCGCCGGGATCCCGTACCGCTCAGGGTCAGATTTTGGCTCGTCTGTCTATGTACGCAGTAAGGTAGGTAGGTGCCCATGTAGCTACAGTACGTATCTACGCCATGAATCTGAATCGAAGAGGCGTTGAAGCCCCATCAAGATGAGATGAAATGCAAGTCCTGATGTCTGAACTCCTGGCGAGACTCTTTCCAAAATCGGCCAAGTTTGCTTCTTCTTTGCCAGGTCTTTGCTATCATGCAATTCAAATTCACGAAACGTCAAACATTATGATGAAGTACACTGGTAGGCAGGGAGAGAATCGCCATTTTCCCGTCCTCCAAACAATAATCCAGACGTTCGATTGGCGAAGCTTTTGATGTTCTTGGTCACAGTCACTTACTCACGTCCACAAGTCTAGAGGAGCACAAAGAGCTTCAGCCGCACGATAACCTGAGCATCAAAGAGGTACATGACGCCAGGTAGGCAATGTCTCTTACCACTGATGAGAATGAGGGTCCGCAACAGTGTCGTACAAACTTCGACGCCAGTCGGAGACATGGTAGAGAGATAGGGCAACGAGCGACGTCGGATCAGGTACCCTGCGTCCAGTCTAGTCCGCGCCTATCTGTCCTTGGCTGCCGTTTCCTGCCCTGCTAGGTGTCCCATCGAGTACCTACTTGTATGCATACAAATAGAGAGCACCACACGGCTTCTCATACTCAACTCCATATCTCCGGGGTCTGGGCAGCACTCTCTGCATTGACAGCCGCCTGACTGCAGGTCAACCACTACATGAGGTTGCAGTTGCTTTGGACAAGAAGTTCGATTGACGGTTTGAGCCATGATGAGCGAGCTAAAGGTACACTACCTTGGGCGTACAAAAGACACGGCCCTGTCTCTGGAGCGCCCGCCCGTAAGGAACCCTAAGACCGCCGGATGTTGGACCGTCGACTCGACTGTGTTTTAGTAACACATCTTCCACCCCGCCGCTGGTCGAAGCCGGCGTCATGGCATCAAGTGGATGGTCCCGGCGTACCTACTTGCCTACCTAGCTGCACGTCTGCTTCTCCAAAGCTTTGAAGCTCTGAGACTCAACTCTCGACTTACGGTTGCCAAGACACCCGCCCGCGTCGGAAACAGTACACCAAGAAGCGCTCACCTAGCAATGTATTCCGTTATACTGGTTCTCTCTGATTTGTGAGTCTTGAATATTTTGCCTAACAAGTAAGTAGTATCGTACCTTTCGGCAGCTGGCATTGGATGTAAGGAAGGGAAAAGTATTTGCATGTCCCGTACCAGTCAAGGCAGAGTCAAGGCATGTAGGTACCTTAGTGCCTTGGATACCTCAGTCAAGTGCCCAAGGTAGCAAGCAGAAGAAGGTGAGGTAGGGCAGACGGAGATGCGTACCCGCCAACTTGACACCTTAGGGTAAGATGATATTGGGAAGGGTCAGCACGAGACACCTTCTCGCTTGCCTTGCTTTTCCTTGCCTCGTGTCCTTTTACCTCCGTTAAACAAACAATTAAACACCACGGGGGCTCGACTCTTCGTTGCATGTGGACTCGATTCCAATCTGCACAACCCATTTCGGGCCCTCTTTCTTTTCAGCTTCGTTTCTTCGCCGTTCTTTCTAATTCGATTCCATGCCATTTCCAGGGCCTGGGGCTGAAGCTTGAGCGACCCTGTCACTCCTACACATATTGAATAAATGCAGCATCTCAATTTCACCCACCACCCTCCCTCTACCTAGTCGTTCTCTGGACCGAGCTCTTGTAATCTCAACCGACTCCTCCAGCATCAGCCCGGACGTAGCGTCGTAGGCACAGCCAATTCAACGTTTCTGTCAATTTCCTAGCATGTCGCCGTCGGATACGCCATGATATGCACATCATGTATCCGTTCACCTTTTCCCGTGCCCCCTTAGACTGTCCTCTCCACCCTAAAATCCGTTTTTGCTTTCTTTTCCCGTCATTCAATCCCCAACTCCTCGTTTCTCTGACACGCTGTCTCAGTCATGCAGCTCAAGATCTCTTCTCCAATCGCCCGGCCCAGGAAGCTACAAGATTGCCATCTGCGACAATCATAGTCTTCCAGCCAACCCCGTCTCCTAGATGCCTAGATGCGGCCGCGACCAGGAGGGGGTGTGGGTGGGGAAGACACTATCCCAGCAAACCAAACCCATCTTCTGCTGAGAATGAGATGCGATGCCAAAACCTGCGAGCCAGACCCCCTTCGATAGCTTCTGGCCGCCTGCATCTGGAGGGTCAGTCAGTATCAGATCCAAACGAGAGGCATCAATTCCTTCCCAGTCCTCACCACAACCACCACCCTTTAACCGTCACCACCACCACTACGCAGAAGCAATCACTAGGGCACGCCAGGACCCTACAAGCCGCGCGAGCTGGATCATGCTGCTACCGAGATGCTCTGTGCTTTCTTTCTGCTTCAACTGCACCAGCCTAGCCTATCCGTTGCCCAACCAAAGAATCCGGTTCGTTGACTACATGTCACGTCTGTGTCCGTTCGGCGGTAGGGAGACGACAAGCGAAACTGGCGGGACTCTTACCGAGCCAAAGGTCCCCAAGCTCCCCGTCCCAGGGCCTAGTCCCTCCGGGCACGAGCAGATGCTTCTACAACTGACAAGCCAGTCGGGAGCTGCATTGCTTTCCCAAGAGTAGTGTCGAATCTCGATCAACCGTGGACTTTGTCGACTATCCTGGAAGCCGACTGGCCAAGAGACTGTGCCTGGCTGTCTTCGCTTCGGGCCTGTGCTCTGTGGTACTGCGAACGGTCCAGTATGTGGCATGTGGAGAGCTTGTCCTCATCAAATTGAGCACGCAAGTGCTTCAGAGCGGCTTTTGCGCAAGCCCTTTTGCTTCCTGTGTCTTACCGTGGCGTGATGATGGCCTCTGCCACTCACCCAATGAAGCTTGCTATCCCGCCGCTCAAAGCAGGCCGTCATCTTAACCAAAGGTTCGAGCTAGCGGTGGTGCGGTGCTTGTGGCAGCTAACGCAGGACCACAGCCAGTCCAGGAATTGCGGAAGACTCGAACCGGCCAGACGGTGCACTTCTGTTTCAACGGCTTCGCTTCTTCGCGATAATATCCACAATCCGCGCGAGACGGCTAGGGCAGACACGATCAAGCCAGTCTCCTCTAACCGACCACCCTAGCAGAATGGCCGTGGGCTCGGTGCCTAGTTGACAATCGGGCCCGTTGATGCAGCACACACGCAGTGGTCACTCCGTGTCAAGGAGGAACGCACAGAGACCCATAGGTCAGAATACGATCTGAACAAGCATCGCATTGCTCTTGGCCGGAGGCTCTTGAGATGCCGATTACCTGCCGCAACAGCCTTCATCACCACCAAAGGACTCAAGAGGTTGGATCCATGCTGTCCATGGTGATTCGGAGGAGGCAATTGGAAGCGCAATTCAAGATTGGATAATCAAGATTCAGCAAGCATGTGCCGACCCCTGTGTCGTACCCAACAAGGGACTTGACAATCATGAAAACCGTATCCTTACTGCACCCTGCTTGAGAGCTGACATCAGAAGCGAGGAAGTCACTAACAAGCAGCCAGAGAGTTTCTTGTCCACCAAATGTTGTGTCTAGGGGAGGCTAAGGAAATTTGCGACGACGAAGATCTGCAACTACTCAACATCAAATGGCCCATCGTTCGTCGACGCCTCAATTTCAATGTCGAGCTGGCCAGTGGAAGCCCGATTACATCGGCGTCTTTACGCCAAATTCTCCGCAGACTGTCCGGCTTATTCCTCACTGTTCGCGCCTTCCCTCCCCTCTGGATCATTTCAGTAAACGTTTTCTCGACAGGTGAAAGGGGATCTGAAGACCATGGACCGGGCCGACAAGGGGCCAGCCAGCCAGCCATACTCGACCGAAGGACAAAGCGTCGAGCAAAAGCCCTGAATTTCCCCTCCACCCCCTGCCCTGGTTCAAATCGAGACGACGACGTGTGCTCGTCGCATCTAGTACCACGGACAGGACTCGTCTAAGAAGCTCCTGCAAAAGATGCGAAGCTATCATCTAGTTGCTGCATTTCAATGGGCCAAGCCTAGGGTGCTTCCGAACGTTGAAGAGAAATGTGATGCAATAACCCCCTCCCCCAGTCGCTCAGTCAGCATTGAGCACTGGAAGCAGCTTCCTCATGGCACGCATTTCGATCTCTGGATACAATTGGGTCGCCTTTTTCAGCGAAACCAGACACAGTTACCGTCACATGCCGAAAACCGTCTTCAACCGTGCCTGGGACTATTTCCTCCGGCTCTCGCCTCAAAGCTTGCTATACTCTTCCGTTTTGAAAACAAGATGTCACGGCCATTCAGCTCTGTCTTGGCGCATCCTTTGAGCCTCGGGTGCTCTTTGCTGAACAAGGTTTAGGGGGTGACTTCAGCGCAGAAACGTTGACCTCGTTACAAGTCGACACCCGCATCTGCAAATTCTTCCTAATCACAAATGCGCCTGTGGATGGTGCCCTCCAGCGAGCGTCAAATTCAGGTCATTCCGACGACGGACTGCTACTGCCACACAACCAGTAAGTCTCTAATCCTTCCTGAGAGCTCTTTGCATCCACCTGAACCAGCTTTTTGACTTCTTTCCAAACGAAGGAGTTTGTGGATGGCGGCCTGAGCGAACGAACTGCAGTCCCAACGTTTCAGCGGAACCGCTATCCGTCCAGCCTTGTGTGATTATCGGAGACTTTGCTGGACCACGCACTCATCATATCAGAATGGAAGCTGCTGCATGCAACTGTTAGATCGAGCACCTCAACGATGTCGATCCGACAGTGTTCTCGACCAGCACTGGCTCTCCTACTCCGTACACCACCACCTGTGGCCTAGGGCCCCGGCCATCTCCCTGGTCCGCTCTTGATGTAACGCGACCCGGGTCCGGCGAACTCTCTCTGCAGTAAGCGTTCTTTCTGTCTGAAGAACGTTGAAGATGTAACGTCGACACTCGTCTCACGGCGAATCGCCAAGCTTCTAGAAGTTCGACTCATACAATTGGCTTGCGGGAGCCCCTTGAGAATTGCTCAACCCAGAGCTCCTGGTATGCCTTTCGTCTCATCCTCAAGTTACTGAGATTCTTCTTTAAGAAGCAAATCGCTGTGCACCTTTGGGTATCGCATTGAGGCCCAGAGCGGACTAGTTCCAAGAGCCTGCTCTACCGCAGTACACAGCATGGTGACTGGTTCCGTGGAACGACACATCCGAAGCCAAAGAAGAACCCCACGACCGAGATCTACCCCGTTCGACTCGAACTCTAATTTTTGCATTCCCCTGTCGTATTCCGGGTATGGTTGTTCATCCTTCCGCCCCCTTGCCTAGTTTGCACCGGACAGATCCCGCGGGTAGCCTACGTCCTGCTACGGCATGGCCGTTCTGCAAATAGGACAGGGTAACATGTCGCAATCACGACAACATGCATGCAAGCAAACACCGACGTCCCACAACGCATCAATGGGTGCGTAGCTTGGTTTGTTCTTCGTTTTCGTGGCCAAACATGACACCTAGGCCTCACAAAAACAACAGGCAATGGGACGGATACACCGTCGACCTCCAAACTCTGGTCACCGTCTACCAGATCCGGGCCGCACCTTGCCGCCCATTCCGCTTTTCCTCCTCCACAGTCCCCGCGCACACGGAAACGAAAAATGTTACTGGGAAACCGGCATAAGTATTCCGAGAACGACCATGGCGTCTCGGTTGGACTGCCGCGAGAGAGAGAAACATGACGCGAAGGCGGCATGGCTTGGGACAACACGTCTTTCAATCTTGAACTTAATCGGGAAGAAGTTGAGGTTGTGGTGGTGCAAATACCTCGGCCAGGGTCCCGCAAGAAACCCTTGCTAACAGCACGAAGATGGAAACCCAAAGCCAACCAGGAGACACGTGGACATCTTCTTCTTGTTTGCTCCAGTCGGTACGCGTTGTGATCAAGTCTTCGCTTTGGTCCATTTCGTCCTCGGATTTGCTACTTTACTTTCCACGGAGGAGTCTCGGATCCGGGGGGTTGAGTGTTTGGGCTTATGCACCCATCACGTCCGACATTATGCCGTTCGAGGCCGGGGATCCAGGGGCTCCATCTAAGTTCTAGATGGGCACTCTCTGGAAGAACCTAACGTCCAAGGAAGGGAGTGCGAACAATTCGACCCAAAGTCAAATATCGACACTACGTTCTAACCCTACACAGTAGAAAAACATCAGCTCGGAAAGTCCGCGAGGACCAGTGCCATGGGTGCCGCCTTCGCGCCTGTGCTCCAGAGAGTTCCACGTATGGGAGATGAACCGCGACACATCCTCATCAAAACCACACACACAAACACAACGACACGGACAGATCTCCGCCTTTTCCCTGTGATATCTTACTTCCCTTGCGGAGAACACGACGTGCTTATTCCTCGTATTATTCATACTCATCGGTCCCGACTCCGTATTTTAAACATTTTACAAGGAACAACATGATCCGTCCGGATATCGCCTTTGTATTAGCTAGTCATTCATTTCACGTCTGCGCAGTTGGAAAAAAGACAAACGCAGACCATCAAGTAGTCACTATCGTATCATCATCCAAACGCCTTTCCCTATACTGACGGGAAGGACCCATCCAAACAACCATGAAACCCAATTCCCGACATGGGGAGTGACGGGGGTAGCCCCCTTCCCGAGTATGTGCCCTTCCCGAGCGACCATCCAAGCCATGGACGACCCAAAAAACGAAAAAAAGTCTAAAAGTCGCCATCATCAACATCCATACCGCTGACTCTCCGCTCTCCGATCTCGCGGATCTTGTCACCCAGGATCGACCGTCCGTACCGCTCCGCAACCTTACCCGCCGCCTCAACCATACGGCCCGTCCGATCGCGCATCAGACCCACCAGTTCCAGCGCCCGCATGCCGCGCTCCTCGCCCTCGCGACACTCAATGGCCAGCATCTGCAGCAGCGTCTTGTCGAGCTCGAGCTCCAGCCGCGCCAGACCCGTCTTCTGAGAGTGCGTGGCGTCGGTGTGGTCAATGAGGTCGCGCAGCTGGGCCGAGTGGATGCCGGAAATCAGCAGCTTCTGCTCCAGCTTGCGCGATTCGCGACGGCCTTCGTCCTCCTCATCGTCTCCGTTGTCGCCCTCCGCACCCTCCGTGTCCGGAGCCGGGGCCGGAGCGGAGGTGAGTGGCACGGAGAAGTCAAACTCGGACAGCAGCGGTCGCGGGAAGTAGGGGTACTGGTCCCCGCCCTTGAGGATGATGCAGTGAAACTTCTTGTCGGCTACCGCAATGGGCCAGTAGGTTTCCGTCTTCCTTCCCGACGCTAGACGCGGGAGAAGCTTTGTGTCAAGGAGGGGCACCCAGCAGGCGCGCGATGGCTTCCGCCAGTGAAGCAGGGTGAGCAGAGTGCCTGTCGAGTCATAAATGCAAGGATCCTGAGTCGGTGTACCCTGCCTGTCAGCGAAACTGCATCCTTATGTCCGAAAGGAAAGAAGGGGAGGAGGGGTGTGTAAACTTACGCCGACATCTGAGAAGAAGACGCTCTGCAACGTCGCGCCATCGGGTAGTGCGACGGTGTCTTCGTTTTGACAGATCTCGTCCCGCTTGATGTTCTCGATCGTGTACAGGAGGCGGGCGTTGCCGTCTGCGCCGACAGGGCCGTTGCCCATCGTGATGACATAGTCACGCCAGCTGGCGCAAGTGACCATGGGTGTGCTCTTGGGCCGGTAGACCCGGTACGGCACTCCAAAGAGTGTGAAGATGCGCACGTAGTTGGCGGTTGTGGTAACTGTGATGAAGGACTCGCTCAACGACATGGCAACTACGGCCTCGCCCTTGGGCAGCTCTGTCCGCCAGTCTGTCCGCTGCGTCCACGTCTCGTGTGGGCGATAGAAGATGGTGGCGGGCGTGTTATCTTGCGGTGGACACGAGAACAGGGCGCCGTGCTCCGTCAAGCAGGCCTTATCGTAGAGGAATGTGTCTGTGAAGTGGAAATCGCGGTGGAACTCGTGATCGTAGAACTCAACCGTCACGGTGTTGTGGCCGTCTTGGTCAACCGTCCAGATGACGCCAATCATGTTCAGACACAGGTACTTGCGGTTTCCGCGCCAGGGGGTCGAACCTGGCTGGAAAGCCTCGTGGAAGTTGAGCGCGAGCTGGCGGCGCTTGCTCGCGCGGTCGCCGTCGTCACCGCCGCCATCAAGAGGCCTCTTTTGTCCAGTTGAGTAGCCAGCGCCGTCATCGTCAACAACGAAGCCGTCTCCATCATCGTAGCCGTCCTCGCCGTTGAGGAAGGAGTCAAGACTGCCCAGGGAATCACGGCGAGGCCGGCTCGGGATCGCAGCCTTGCCGTTGGCATCTGGTCTCCTGGCGTTGTTGGAGATCTCGAAGAGGGGATCGTGGATGAACGGTGCGGGCTGGCGAGGCAGCTGCAGGAAGCTAGAGAATTGCTCCGTGATGAGGTTGGGGTAGATGTAGACTTCGCCGTCAGATGTCGTGAACGATAGTAGATTGTCCTTGGGATGCCATGTGATGTCAATGACGTTGCTGTAGTCAAACTTTTGAATCACGCTCTGTGTCTTTGTCTCCCAGATCAAGAGCTTCCCGTCCTTGCCTGCCGTCGCCAGCATCGCGCCGTTGGGCGACCACGCCACCGCCGTGACATCACCCAAATGCCCATTGGCAAACGTCCGCTGCTTCTCCCAATCGTTCTTGGATACGACCTGGACATCGTGCATGGGTGTAGGCACAGCAAATGCCCGTCCGTCTGGATGCCACACGATCTTGGCCGAGTTTTCGGATTCGGGGTCGAGAGGTCCAATGATGCCGTCCACCTTGCGGATCAGCTCCGGCGTCTCTGCCGTCATGGAGTAGACGTAGATGACTCCATCTGTACACGCCAGGGCCAAGAGCCCGCCTTTGGGGTCAAAGGCTAGGTGCTTCGTCGGGCGCCCGTGGTCCTTCAGAACGCGGATGCGAGAGTTGTCCTGGGTATCGACGACCTTGACCGTGAGCTCGTCGCTCGCGACGGCACACCACTTTGCGTCGGGGGAGAGAGCGACGTCTCGAACTGGTAGGGAGGTACGTGTGAGAAAGCGCTCGAACGTGGTGTCCTCGACCGAGTAGACGCTGACGGTGCCGTCCTCTGAGCCGACCACGAAGAAAGCGTCAGATGCGGCCACGGCGCAATTCTGCTCAGGGCAGTCGTCGATGTTGAAGGGCTCGCCATCGTGGTGGGTGCGGTAGAGGCGGATCGTGTTGTTAGAGCCGACGGTGACGAGGCGGGCTCCTGAGGGAGTGTAGGCGAGACGGGTCGTTCCCGTTGTGTGCGCCGGCCTCGGCCGCGGTTTCGGGGCGAGGGAGGAGGCCATTTCGGGGTTGGTGTGTGGGATGTGGTTTAGATCTTGTTCATGGGTATTTTGGAACTCTTTGTGGCTCGGAAAGATTGTTGTTTATGGGTGACCAATACAGCTGACCGCCCGAAAAGTCGTGATATCGTCAATTGGGATCGTGTTGTTGGAGATGGGTATTGGAGAGAATGGATGTGGTGATGGTGGGACACAGGTACTCTGAGAGGGACGCGTTTAGACGCGTCGCGAATTCAATTAAAGCAACTTTTTGACAGGCGCGGGACTGGGGTCGCTGAAAGAACCCCGCCAGGTACGTACTGCTTCAGTTGGATCCTCTCCCTCTGCCACTTGGTGACAGGTGGAGGGACTGCCAATGCTTTCACAGAAATGCATCGCAGGCATCAGAATTGATGAGAAATACAGCTTGTGAGTGAAAGTGGGCGACCTGAAGAGTTACCTAGATTAGGCATCACAATTACCAAAACTGATTTTCAGCCCTTTCTTGACGATTTAAGACTAAGGTGCCTTCTTACACATGTTTCAGTTGCGTATACGCATTCATTTTTACCATCGTTAAGAGTCATAAATCAAGTTGGCGAGCGTAAGAAATACCCCTCAAGATGGAGTCAACCAACCAAGAGAACTTCTTCGAGACGGAGTAAGTATATGTCGAAACTAGGTATCAAGAGCATGGCTAACAATTATATAGTACGCAGCAAGAGAAGCGCCAGCAGCGTGCTAAGAAGGAGGGAAACACCTTTGGCAACCCGCTGCGCATGCCCTCCAAGCTCTTGGCCGTCATTAAGGATACCAAGTCCAATAACTCCGTCTTCGTCGCAGAATCTGGCGGAAGGGTGTCTAAGATCAACATCGAGGTGAGCTTCTCTCATGTGTTCAACGAAGCTCCCGCGCTTCTCACCCCTGGCCTCCTTGATTCCATTTCATCAGATTGCTATCTATCCGGGAGAATCAGGGGCTCACCACATCACAGACACGAACAACCACAGCAAAGTACACCGGCCCCTCCGTTCCGGTAACATGCCTCGCAACAGGCGGACCCTCCAACAACACCCTCTTCGCAGGCAGCTGGGACAAGGCAATCTGGTCCTGGGACGTCGCGACGCGCAGGCCCGGCCGCAAGTACGACGGCCACTCCGACTTCGTCAAGGCCCTCGTCTGCGGCCGCCTCGGCGACAAGACCATTCTCGTCAGCGGCGGCGCCGACAAGAAGATTATCGTCTGGGACGCCGACGTAGGGCGCAAGCTGCACGTCCTCCAGGACCCGGCCACGACTATGATGTCGCTGCAGTCCCTCGCCATCGACCCGGTCCTCAGCACCGCTGACGAGATCGTCCTCGTCAGCGCGAGCAGCGATCCGCATATCCGCCGGTGGAAGATTACGCTGAAATCATACGCGCAGCTCCCCTTTGACCAACCTGCTGTAGCAGGAGAGAAGGGCGCAGCCGCCGCCGTGGGCGAAGAGAAGCTCACGATCCAGGAGCACGAGACGAGCGTGTACAAGGTCCTCTTCGACGTCACCGGCGACGAAGTCGATCTCTGGACTGCGAGCGCTGACGGCACCGCCAAATGCCTTCTACGCGAAAAGGCCTTTTCCGCAGAAGACGTCTTTGAGCACGGCGACTTTGTCCGCGCCGTCGCGCTCACGTCGGACTGGGTCGTCACGGCCGGCATCAATCAGCACATCAAGGTCTGGGACCGGACGTCTGGCCAGCTGTACGCCATCCTCGACGCGCACTTTGACGAGATCACCGACCTCGTTGTTCTGCGGGATCCGGCGGGAGCGGCGGCGGATGTGCTGTGCAGTGTCAGTATCGACTGTACGTTGCGGACGTGGCCTCTTGATCGCAAGGGGTTAGATGCGGCGGTCGAGGAGATACGGGCTGCGTCTGAGGTTGTTGATGGGCAGGAGGGTGAGGGGGAGAAGAAGAAGGATGATGATAAGGAGCCTTTGATGACGGCTGAAGAGGAAGCGGAGTTAGCTGCGCTGATGGAGGATGATTAGGAAGTACAGTCTAATCAATGAGGTGGAATGGCATTGCAACTCGGTGTACATTCTGTGCCATCAGATCCTCATATCAATGCTGTGAAACAACCTCTAATGCCCCTCTCGAGTACGGCTAGCTTGCCAACGTGATGCAATCGCATTCTACGCGTCACGAGCTCTCGTGCAAGCGCAGAGATGAGCACTTGCGCAATGCCTAAAGTTAGTCGCCTTATGGGGTGTTCCAAGCCCGAGGTATCTGAGGTGTACTCTTTCCTTTCTGGAAACACCACTCAATGGGTTTGAGAATGGCTTTCCATCACCTCGCCACCAAGATCCCACTCTTACTTCCACTTTTTCCAAATGGCAAGGCAGCAGAGTGGTGTACTCTGACTTTCACTGATGTTTCCTGCTATTTGGTAGTATCGCTGGTTCGTTTGCTCGGCCTGTTACGTTTTTTCCAATCAAAGATGATCTGTTTCTGGAGGAATAATCCTATCATGCGCGTTTACTCGTCACTGCCGCATTACCCATACTATCTCTATGCCATCAGTATCTCGGCCTGCACGAGGTAGTAGCTATTGTTAGGGAGTCTCTTGTCACTTGGGCCATGTTGCCGGCATCACATTCACAAAGCTGTACAGGCGAAAAGCAACGGTTCGAATGACGTGGCAAGATGACAGGATTTTACATGGGTCTCTGTTGTTCACTTGAGGGTGCCAAGGATGTGAAATCAGTGTCCTTCTCGAAGTTACGTTGATGTTCTCTCCGACGGAAGATGCGGTGTATGTCGACATCTGCAACATTCCATGCAGCCGGTCGATCCGTGGCGTATCTTGTCCGTCGGGACGTCGCCGATTTCATCTAGACAAACCCAACCAGAATGATTCGTTCGAATGGTATCCACGTGTTGCTTCGTGGGATCTGCCGTGATATATGATGATCACCACTGTGGTCTAGCACACCCATGCTCCTCTACTGAGTACCTCATACCAGCGATCTTCTAAAAGCCATCTCCAGTTCCGCATATCTTTCGTCCGTGTTCCTAGAATGCGGGAGCTGCCTCCGTGCTCGGCACTTATTTGGCGAACCGGTCATCCGGATCAGTCTTCCGAACAAGGCCCGCCGTACTAGGTCGCCCACGGTGATGGCCGATGCGCCAGACTCACACCAGCAAGTGCCACTTGAAAGCCCGTGGCTGGTGGAGAGACTGGTATCGTATTCAAGCACATCTGCTTAAATAGCTAAGAGAAATTAGTGGCTTCAATAGCTTGCCAGCCCGTGCGAGCATGCGAGGTTCCCGAAACACGGCGACCGCCTGGCTGCCACCCTGGCCTATCGCAATATAAAAAGTGGCGATGGGCCAGAACCACGATGCAGCCAAGCTCGAGCTGAGTTGTCCATCCAAGGGAATCCTGGATGGAATTGGGGAGCTATGGCCTTTCTTCAAGCCGGCCGCAATCAATGTACGGATCAGGGGGGTAAGACTACCGGCGGAAGGGCTTGTGCAACCAGAAGAGCCGCGGGAGCCCCGAACTTTGAAGCTTTTGACAGCATGTAAAGACGTCTTTGGACCAACCAACAGACGGCCATGGAAAGGTCTCGGTGTTGCCAACAGATGAAACACAGACATCGAGAGGAGATTACTTTCTTCGTTTTCCACATTTCCCATCAAACCGCACGGGCAGATCAGGGATCTAGGCTTCCCCAAGTGCGGCTATAGATGAGACACTTTAGCCGCTCCGTGGCCTCGGCTTGATGGGTCCCGGCCGATACGTTGACGCGGAGTGAATACGCATTGATTCTTTTCAAGGTCTACGACGCGTCTATTAAGACGTCCTGTCTACATTACTGGTGCCAGCCGTAGGGTTCGCGACGCGTTCGAATTCGTTGGAGGTGTATACCTGTGTACGTGTGTAGCGCAGTCTGTGAGCCGCCGGACAATTGTCATGCAGAAAAAGCGGTACACAAGGACCAAATACTGCAGGTGATGCAAGACACAGCTTATGCAAACGTGGTGGGGAATATCAAAGAGTCTAGGGCGGTTGGCGTAGTCCCAATCGAGGCAACGTTGTGATCAGTGGCCGCCGTCTCAACGATTCAGGTTGTCTGCCGTACAACAAAGGCCGCAATTAGTCTGTTTCAAGCCCTTCACCGCTCCCTCTGATGACAAAGTCTTCCCGTTACTGCAGGAACTGACTCAAAGGGCAAACAATGAAGTGGTGGTGGGGAACGCTCAAAGCCTGGCTGGATCAGCCCTTTAGAGCAACGTACTGCCTGGCGATCCGAGAACACGGGACAGGCCCCCAGAGGCGCCGCGTTGTGGATTATCGAAGATCGATCTGCTGCCCAGCTGGGATATGGAGCGGCGCTATTGAAGGCTGGCAGATCCCTCTTCAATTTGCCCACGAAAAAGCAACTTGTGTGGGACGGCTGCAGGCAGTCAGTAGATGGCTCCAAATAGTGAAAGGACCTACAAATATGCATGAGATAGGTAGGTAGGTAATGGAGTAGTAAACTGCATCCCAGAATGGCGAGGCTACTTGGTATGCTCTTGTATGAGCACATCTAGAGCTGATATGCTGATCGTTTCGTACAATGTCGGACAGCATCCGGGCCCAGGCTCCCTGTTGTACCTATCTCTGTGGAGGCCATGTTACGCGCGCAGGTTCGCGGCTGAGACCGTTATAATAAGTCTGATGGATGACAAAGTTCGAGGACACATTGACACCTATGCAGGCATGTTGTCGGCGCCCGAGGAAGAGCGACGTCCATACAGCCAATGGCTCTTTGCCGGAACATAAAGTCTAACAATATCCGTTGCATTCTCATCATTCATGAACGGAGCGGGTACGTTGCTGGAACCACGGCTTGCTGGGTAAAGTTGAGGCGGATCTTTCGAAGGCAAAGCGACAAGTCCATGCAAAATTGGTACCGAGTCTGGTGTCGTAAAGTGTCTGCCTCGGCGCACTTGTCGCCTCAAGATGCGTCCTAGTGATCCCACCATGCCGAAGTATATACTGATAGCGTGGCAGGAAGCTGCTTCCCCGATGTCGATAGCAATTGTTCGTATTGTGGACTGCACGCGTGTCCGTGACACGGTTGGCCAACCTAGTTGCTCGTAAAAGAGCGAAAACTCGGGTAGACTGCGACGGCGTGTGGAGATGGCGAGTGAAGAGGAGCGTGTAGACTCGCAGTATGGCACAGAGTTCTGGCTAGGGAGCGACTATGCGGGATAGAGTTGGATTGGTGGCACGAGTCGGGGATCTGAGGGCGAATGCCTCGGTTCTGCGACACACAAAGGGGGCTCCAACGTGAAACTCAGTCGAGGTTGGTACTATGGATGGTAAAATTTGCCCAATTTCTTGAGGAAACTTAAGGTGGTGATGGGCGGCACTCGAACAGCGGCCGTTTGCAAAGGTCTAGGTCTCGTGATAAGCTTGACAAACCCCATATGGCAGGTAGAGGTGAGATGAGGTCCGAGGAACGCTTCCAGACGAACAGGCTACATCCCTTGTCACGCAGCCTACCATGCAGGAACAGGATTTCCCTGCAGACACACGTATGTCGTGCAAAGGCAGGACGCAGGGGGGCGGAAGGGCAAACAAAAGAGTGTGAGAATCTAGGTACCTTACTGTAAGCATCTTTCGCTGGGACTTTTGGTGAGAAATGAACGAAAGGTACTCCGTAAGCAGCGTGGAAATAAGCAGGAACTGGCAGGAAGCAAACAGCGAGAGCAAATCCTGCCTTGCCGATTGGCTCTTTTTCCCCGACTAAGAGCAGGCCTGTCGTCGATCGCCCAAAAAGGCAAGGCTCCTTTTCGAGTATATGTACCCCTGTCTACAGCCCCTGCTTCGTCCACGCTTTGCCCGCCTGGCGTGAACCCTGAACCATGGAACACCCGTGAGGCCCCCCGCCAGCCGCCGTCTCGGAGACCCACTTTCCACCCCTCCTCCAGCTGAGTGGCCAGACAGAAGGAACGCCATTCATCATCGCAAAGTACCGCATCCAGGCGTCCCTTGTTCCAGCCTCCTAAGCCGTCCAACCTCCCGATCTTCCCTTCTTGTTTCTCTCTTGCACGGGCTGCCCTGTGGTCTTGCAGAGAGCATGGGTCGTATCTTGCCTTGCGGACACTATGGGACGGCATTCGATGGGGAACGCTGCCCGTCCCTTCCATCAGACTATGAATACAACCCTTGCCTCGCACTCACTTACCTACGCAGTAGGTCAATCCGTTCGCCCTGGATGAAATGGAGGCTTCTGTTTGGCCAACTTTGTTTGTCCGACGCAGACTCGTCGCAACCTCACCCGCAAGAAACCTAGTCTTACCTTACTGTGTAGAAAGCTGTCAGCCCAGAGTGCTCGCAGACTCTGTGTTACATTCGCTTCGCTTGTTTCGTTCGTCGTGCTAGCAGCCCGCACTTGCAACGTCCAGATACTTACTGATACTGTCGATGCGAGACTACCAGGGTAGGTTCGTCAAACGGCTACATGGCTTAGCCGATCAATGATGCAAGTGACGGCGGCTTGCACAACTGCCAAACCAGTCTGCCATTGTTCCCCGATGCTGGACACGCCGACGGACTGGCTCCTGCGACACCCGACGCTGAGGTCAAATCGGATTATCGATTTGGTTACTAGTCTCAAGCCATCAGTAACGACCAGGGAGAAGGCGCCGAGGAACTTGCTCCAAGCCTCCAGCTCTACGTAGACAAGTAGGTGGTAGTAAGTAGCGTAAACCTTTCGACTAAACGCCCCAGACCTGCCACCACCACCAGTCACCCATCTCGACCTGAAGTGTCTTTGAACGCTACCGTCATACTAAGGAACGCACGCAGTCTCGCTAGCTCGTTAGTGAGTGTTGGCCAAGGGCGAAGTAAGACGGATTCCGATATCCCACACCGAGAGCAGACGCGCCGTTTCGTCTTCACCTTTCTCAATTTCATTTCTTGGTGCGCATCTGTTTCTGCATCCAGCGTTCCGGCGTCACGAGGGTCACCTACATTGAGCCTTAGGAATCATTCGAATACACCTCCTGCTTCCTGCCTCTTGCCGTCTGCCGCCTTCCGTTGCCCCAGCCAGTCCTTCCTCAGGTGGGAAGTAAGGTACCTAAGGTAATAAACAACTGGCAGACCGCAGCACACCATTGGATTGCACTACGACTGGAAGTTGATCATAAGATGCTCGGCTGAGGTGGATGGTCTCGATTTGGTTGGTTCCTTCTTTCATTCGGACAAGACGACGTATCTTTCCATACAGGCAACCCCAACAAGGCCTCAAGCTTACCGCACCATCCCGTCCCAGACATCCGGTCACTTTTTCCACATCGCATCCCCTTTTTCTCGCCGGGAAGCCACTGCGTCGTTGCCAACCAGACTAGCGACTTGGGGCGTAGCTTGGAGACGCGAACTATTTGTCTACTCTCTCTCGTGTCTCCCTAAATCAGGAACATCGACTCGGTAGAGCCAAGCCACTTTTTCTGGGCCTTGTGCCGCCGGCCGCGCTTACATCTACGCCTACTCCATTACACGTCTTTATTCTCTCCAGGTCTGCCCATCATACTTTTCCCGCCCGATGGCCGTTGGATTTCTTCATTTTTCGCATCCCAATTTCTCTTCTCTCTTTCGGCTCGTCACTGCGCTTGCTGTTGACTTGGATGAAGCAGGCCAACGTGGGAGAATCGGCAACTGGTTGCACTGATTCACACCTTCCGCCTTTTATCGACGTTTTCTTCACTTCGCTAGCAAGACCTTTCCGACAATCGAATACACTCAATTGCGTTACTTGAACGCTTCATCTCACCTCTTTCCCGCGACTACCATATAATTCATAACCAGCTCATCCGTTCGCGAACTTCACACCTCTATCAATCTTCGTCTCCCTGGACCCCCGGACGACTCTTCCTCAATGGCCGAGCCTGCTGAATACCATGGCGGCCTCGTTGCCTTCGAGGGTCCCCACGACCTCGTTTCGACTCAGCTCCGTCTTCTACCCACATCATCGCAAATTGCTATCCTCCCCAGCGTCAAGGAATTTCTCGAACCTGAGAACCCCGATGAGCCCTTTGAACCGCGCAAGTTTGTTAGGCGAGTTCACAATGCTGTTGCCAAGAGAAGGGACACCGCTTTGGACTTTTTGAAGGATTCGACACCCAAGCGGAAAAGACTGGTGTTCATGAATGGAGGTACGCCCAGCGCGCAGACGGTCTGCATCAGAGCCATCTCTCGGAATGAGACAGAGGGGGATATATCCAAAGCCGAAGCAATCTTCAACGACCTTGTTAAGGGCGGCGTTGCAGGCCTCGAGGACACCGCCAACTCAAGCGGCTCATTCCTTGATCCCTCGGAGGAAATGAGCGAGGACCCCATCACCAGAGCTATGCGTGCTGCCGATGCTCTCGACCGGGAGACTGCAAACTTACAGCCATCCAGCGACATCGATCTCACCACTCCCGCCGGCCGTCCGCGCCCGAGAAGCATGAGCCTGCCCATGTATAGCTTCGCCGATACGTTTGGTGATATGGCATCCTTTTACGTCTTTGGTGGCCAGTTCAGTGAAGATCACATCAGGGAGGAGGGTCAAGTCGAGGCTGCGACTCAACACCATGGCCCAACACCCAGACTCGCCATCACGAATTTTGACGAGCTCGAGAGAGCCTCCGGCGAAGGCTTCGATAGTGACGGCAAACCCATCGTCAATGCACCGCCTCGGTCTCCAAGCTGTGTTGGCGAGGCATATGAGCGGGATGATGTATTCTCATCTTCTTCTCCCAACGCCCCTGGCCTTCTCGACGTGGCATCTCCCAGGTCTGACGTCTTCAGTATCCGCTCGACAGAGCCTGTATACATTGAACAAGCATCGCTTGTCCGTATGAAGTCATCCGCTTCTTCCAGGACTTTAAAGCGATCTCAATCGATCAGCCATCTCCATCGGAGCAACTCTCGCTATAGGGACACTCTCATGCGGCTGAAGCCTAAGGAGCAAGCTGCCGCTGAGAAAAGTGACCTTGAGAAGCCTTCCGCTGAGAATTCGTTGCTTTCCGCTGAGAAGACTGCCGCCGAAAAGGTTGCCGAGGGCCGCCCTGTGTCAGTAGTCGAACTCATCGAAGACGCCGAAAAACGCGAAAGTAGCGCCAAGCGCCTCGAAGGCCCGAAGACAATCTATGTCAAAGCAGCCCGGCCAAACAAAGGAATCAACAAGGCATTGCCGCCCCCTCCACCGTCCGAGAAGAGACTGCGCAAACGTAAGCATACCAAGTCTAGGTCGAAATATGTCGACAGAGGAACCGATGCCGAAGATGTCGAACTGAATGAGACGCCGTTCCGACCTGTACTGCCATTCTACGAGGACCTAGTCATTCACTTCAAGGACGACAGTCCAGACCCAATCCTGGAATACATGATCAAGGCTTTCAGACAAGGTGTTTATCCTGTTACACTGCCTTCTTCTGCTTCCTCCGGCACGTCTACTGCGGATGGTGACAGATCGACCCCGCAGACTCCAACATGGCAACTGGCCGAGCCCGAAGTCACCCAGTTCGCATCCACGACGAAGGCCAGCACAGAAGAGTACGATCCATTCTCCTACCAGGGTCCGACCTACACCGCCAAACCAGTCCAGCCTTTCACCCGGACTGTGATAAGATCAGCTTTGCCGACACCAGCACATACACCTCCGCCCACGGTGTCCGAGTCAGAGGATAAGTTCCACGACTTCAACGCCGTGCACGGTCAGACGGCTGTAGCCATGCAGAACTCCCTCAGATCAGTGCTTAACATCTACTTCCCACCCAAGGGAAGAGGGTTCTCTCAATTCAACTTTCCGTTGCTTCCCGAGATGGACGCATTGTGGAAGCCGATATTCCGGGACGTTGAGCCTGGTGGAAGTCCAAGAAAAGACAATCACCGGATAGACCAAATCCTAGCCATAGGTGCGCAACGTGGGGTCAAGAAAACATTTGTCTCTGGAGTGACCAGCCAGCTTGAGAAGTTGGGCACAAAGTCGAGTGGCATTTCGAGGACCGGCAGGTTGGATTTTCGGTAAGTTGTTTGCTTTGCGTGATCTTTCGTCTCTTGACTAACGAAACTTCTCAGATATCTCATTGCAAACGCGATGCAGTCCTTCACCGCACAGCCGCTGGCCAACCAGACTCAAGACAACCCCTTCACCAACTCATATCTTCTGGCGACTCTTATCATTCCTCATCTCGAGACTTTCTTTGCTGCGCACTCCGAAGTCCGCTTTCTGATTCTCGACTACCCTCCGGATCATCTTGCCACCATCCTCGCTTTGCAGAAGTTGGTCGGCGTTGACTTGATGAAAGTTGCACAGGTCATTGATGCTCAGGCCAAGGAGCCACTTCCCTTCACTCATGTTCGAGGTAGCTCCCTGGGGCGTATCTCTACTGTGAGTGACTTGGCCTCAAGCTCAAGCTCACTCCAGTCCAAGGCATCGAGATCTGCCGCGTCGACATCCTCGCGAGATGGGGTGGCAGTTTCCAACGCCAACCTTCTCCTCGCATCCACCGCAACAGAGGCGGAAGTTGCGACTTTTGTGTCCACCATCTGGAAGATTCTAATCAATATCTCCAAGTTCTACCTGCCTGAAGAAAGCAAAAAGCTTGAAGAGAGTAGTGTCAAGAGCAAGCGGCAATCCGGGAACTTCTCGGCGTTTCCTCAGGCTTCAATGAGCCCTCCGATGTCTCCGCCATCCTCCAGTGGTCGTAAGGCCGCGAATAGGGCATCGGGCTCCATCAGAACTTCAGCCCGACCTTCTTCCATCGCAGAAACAATCATGAGCCGGCGTTTCAAGTCACGAAGAGGTGACAGGAAGACCGTCGGCGATGGCGCATCCATCTTGACCGTCGATATGGACTACGAGAGCGATCTAGACCTCGAGGAAAGACGATTGATGCCCATGTTCTTGAAGAAGAGTCAGGTCCGGAAGGGGAACAGTCGGAAGGCCCTTAAGTTTCTCGGCCTGGCTTGATGAGTCGTTCCGTGACTTTTACCGTTACTTGTATCCATAGGGCCAAACGGCTTGGCCCTGCATCTTTTGTTCTTTTTCTTTGGAATGACCCCATCACGAAGTTTCATGCTCAGTCTCAATACCATGGCATCAGGAGTTATATCATGTTAGAAGAAGAGCCACATCATGTCGAAGGAGGGGGTGGGGGTTGGTGGGCCGAGAGATGGATGGATACTTGCTGCTCGGTTTGAAGACCGACAATCTTTTTCTTTGCTCTTACCATCAGTTCCGAGCGCGTCATATGCGCGATATTTCGGTTGCAGTCGTGGCTGGACAATACCCAGGGATAGATCTCCCATAGATACGAAATGAAAATTTTCAGAGCGCCTGCATTCTGCCTTCTTGGTGTTGATACTTCGCCTACTTGGCGCCTAAGTGATGGTGGCACCTTGAGGTATCAAATAACCGACTTGTGTCGTACGTCTCGAGGGGACTTTACGTCAAAAGTAGAGGCGTCGACGGATACTGCAACATCAAGTGAGACAGACTAACAGTAGGACCATGGTAATAATAGCCAGTAGCTCAGGCTACTTCGTCATCTCCATCCAGAACAACTCACGGGTATTGAAATCCGGCCTGACCAAGTCGTTGCGCATTTGAACACAAAGACATCTGGGCATGCACCAAAGTCCTTGACACCGTTGTCACGCCGGCTCAAAAGTCCGGCAACACCGTTGAGCTCTCCCACCAGAATTATCTCCACAATCCCCCACCTTCTTACACGACACGTGGCTTCGAATGTATCTATCTCAAGTTTCATTAATGCTTGAGTACAATGCTGATCTGAAGGATGACGGGGATGCAAGATTTTCTGAAGTTAAGTTCAGAGTAATATTTTCAGTATGAGGGGACTGGAGAGAAATCTCCAGTGACCCTTAATTGTACTTGTGACTCGCAAAGAGTTTATTTTCATCGATGAAAAGGTATTTGTAAGTCGGAAGAAAAAATCAATATGCCGCCTCCCAGATTCGCCATCGATCCATCTCCATTTGCCATTTGCCTGCCTTCAAGATCCCGAAGTCTGCCCCCCCTGAGAGTCAGCCGAACATTCAGCAACCAACAACCAATATCCTTCATTCAATACTCATCGTCCAAAAATCAAGACGAAACCAGCAAGATGAGACAACTAGGAGACTATCACGACCTCGACGAGGAAATCATTCCGGCGGGTATCCCCTCCGACAACGCCATCCCATACCGCATCCAACAGCACTCTGAGATTGCCCGATTGTCTCAGGATCCGGAAAAGACCCGCCGAACATCGGAGCACGTGGACAAGATAATCGACGAGTACAAAGACTTTGAGGAACCAGAGCTTTCTCGGCCGAGGGAAGGAGGCATTGATGTGCCGATGGCGCGTCTCGGTGGGCTTGATCTGAACTACAAGATCTGTCAAATCGAAGAAGATCTCTTGGCTCTTCGAGAAACATCCGGAGAAATCGACAGTGAGGCGGCGGTACAGGAACGAATCAAGCTGAAAAGGAGCCGAGACTCCCTGGGTCAAGTAATGTTCCAAAAGAGGTCGCTTATTGAGGATCTCAACGCGGTGCGCCTCTGGGGACCTTATGCCGGGACCATAGCCCAGTGTGTGGAGACCTACTACGGCAGGTACAATAGATACCAGACGAAGCCCCTGGGAACTAGAAATGGGTTCCGAAACAAAGCTCTGGATTACTACGGAGGGAAATCCTGTCAATACCAGGCACCAGAAATCTCCAGGGGCAGACATCAGTACGGCAGATATTTTGTTGGAATCCGACGAACACTACTGGTGTCACGCCGCCGGCTCGTGGATGCATCAAGAAGGAACATCAAAGGACGACCCTGCTCAGCCCCTGCCTCAGCGCCATGTCGTTGCGAACATCGTGCCGCATTTCTCGAACGTACCTTCTGGAATCTTAGAGGATCTTTTCCGTGAGAGAACGGACGATTTGAGCGGACCAGCGAATTCACTTCTACTTTCGAAGCAGATTCAAAGACGGTTCGCTCATTATAAGCTCGTCATCGTCCCTGTTGATCCAGAGGAAAGGTCAATCACACGATGGAAGATCGACATCCTCGACAAGAAAATAGAAAAGGTTTGCCTCGAAGACGTAACCTTCACACCTGGCGGCGATAGACGACCTTTCAGCGCCAGAGGTCTTCAGGACAGAGAATTGGTATTCCTCAACGACAAGCGGCCGGCTGCACGATTCCTATATTTCCATTTCATTATGGCACTTACCCGCTTGAAGGATACCAAGGCAGAGAGCTGGAAAGACGCCCGGGCAAAGTACTTGTCCCATAACCCATCCCCAACCCTTCTTCACTTCCTGCCCTCTTAAGGGGTAACACCCTTCTCTCCCCCCTTCATCATGGGCCACCGCTATTATCACTGGTACACATTTCTACTAGATAAGGTGTATTCTTCTACGTAGATGAGAATGATTTTGATACAAAGGGGCAGTACTTGTGATGTGAGTAGTGAAGGGGGGACTAATTGAAATGTATGGCGGTAAATCGATTATGTCGCCCACTTGGGTGAGTAGGCTCGATTCCTGTTTTGACTTCCAAGTAATTCATACGGAGTAACTTATAACGCTTTCTTGTAGTAAAACTGTCCAGGTGCCAAGGAGGTGAAAGAGTGTAGAGTCCATCGAACGTGAGGCGAGTCCGATGACCGGTCGATCCGAAACCCTCGTATCCGCCGCACATCACACACTTGTTCGGCTTGCAAATGTTCGTTGGCTGGGTTGGCAAACGCCTAGATTAGTTCAGGCTGAGACCTCACGCGGGATGCCTTTCACGAACCGGGAAACAAACGGAATCGTCACCCTCGGTTGCCGCGATATCAAGAAGGAAAACGTCACTTGCCCATTATTTCGACCCTATCTACCAGAAAAGCAGCAGCCGCCAAGGAGGGAACCTAAAAAAGAGAAGACATGTGGTTGGGAACAAACGCGCAGACACCCATACGTACGGCCCGCTGCGTTGCCTATGTGCTCCGCCCCCAGCCAACCAAGCTTGATTGCAAAGTACACGGTGCGCCAGCAAAACAAAGCCTACGCTTGTAACACACGTCAACATGACCTTATTATCCCTTCTGCCCTCAGTGGGATCTCTAGAAGCCTCCCATCGAACGCCCCAGAGCCTGGCTTTGGGTCACCGTTACGCAGCAGGAGCCCTGTCGTTTGCCGTGGACAACGTCATGCGTCCAGTTACAGAGGTATCTTGTGTCGATTGTGTGTGTGTGTGCAGTGCGAAGGAGCTGGGACGAACCAAATCAACACTCATCTATGCGTAGAAGTATGGAAAGCAGCCTTTGCGCGGAAGGAGAGAAAAGCGAACGACACAGCATCGTCCGAGCCAAAATGTGATCCCTACACCGTCATGAGCTGCGCATTCCCTTCCTCGTCCATTCTGCCCAGCTGTATCCCCTCCGCCGAGAAAAATCCGTAAAATGCCATAGAACACAGGTAAGGAAAGCGGGCTTCGTAGAAATCAGGGACGATACGTTTAGCAGCAGCCACCTCCCGAGTTCGAGGAGACACCGTGGCCGGGGCCGACCTGTACGGAGGGTTTCGTGTTGTTCGCGGTCGTGCTGCCCATGCGCTCCTTGATCTGGCGGGCCATGGTCAGGAAAGCCTGCTCGACGTTGCTGGCGTTCTTTGCAGAGGTTTCAAGGAAGGGGATGCCCAAGCTGTCGGCGAATTCCTATTGGAGGGTTAGCAAACTGATGGTCGTAACAAAGAACTTTACAGTCCGAGTGGGAGTTGTCAAGCAATGTGGCGCTTCAACAGCCGGCGGGGGGAATCTGACCTTGGCGACGGTGTACTCGACAACCTTCTTGTCAGACATATCGCTCTTGTTGCCAACGAGCAGCTTGTTGACCCCCTCAGTGGCGTATCTGTCAATCTCCTGAAGCCATTGCTTGACGTTGTTGAAAGAGTCCATGTCGGTGACATCGTAGACGACGCAGATGCCGTGGGCGCCACGGTAGTAGGAGGAAGTGATGGTGCGGAAACGCTCCTGGCCGGCAGTATCCCACTACGGATGAGGAAAAATGTCAGCATTTGCGACAGCATCATTTCCTCGACAATATTCTCCACCAGGATCAACTCACGATTTGCAGCTTCACCGTCTTTCCATCGAGCTCTATCGTGCGGATTTTCTAAGGTTATCGTCAGTAGCCGATCGGTCGGCGTCGGCAGAGTGGGGGTTTTTCATACAAAGTCGACACCGATGGTGGAGATGTAGGACTCGGTGTATGTGTCGTCGGCGAATCGCAACAGAAGGCAAGACTTTCCAACACCGGAATCACCGATGAGGAGAAGCTTGAAGAGGTAGTCGTACCTAGCGTCGGGTCAGTATCGGTGTCGAACCTAAATCATATCGGCGATTTTCGCGCTTTGCGCGCTATGGCAGCGAAAAGATCGAAAAGACGATATCGATGAGTGTGGGAGACTCTGTGAGAGAGAACAAGGTCAGCTTAGCGGCGACTCCCGAGGATTCCTCGTTTCGCAAGGCAAGGAGGTGAGGCAACGTACTACTCGGGGTTCATTGTGAATAGCGGGGGGTCTGATGAAGGCTGGTAGGGATCGAGAGATGCGGCGGATATAGGCGCGCTGGGCGATTATATGGACGTTGCGTAGGTGTTGGGAAGTTGATGGATTTCGGTGGTGTCGTGTTGAGGTTCCAGGTTGTGAAAGCAACAAAGCCAGAGTCAGGACAGGTCAAGTGAGATGGTAGGAGTCGGACGGAGTAAATGCAGGCTGCTGCTACGTCAAGGCTTCTAGCGCGGTGTACAGAGTACCAGTCAGGTGCCAGTCTCTGATTACCTTAGTGCTCGGTGTCCTGTGCCCAGAGTCCTGTGTCCAGTGCGGTGTCCAGTGGGTTACCGCCTGGCGGGAGGAACAAAAGGACCCACGTCGACCTGAGCAGTCAGATGTCACCGACGAATGAAACTCTTTGGAGAGGCTAGCATGGCACGGGATCAAGCACGTGATACATCTCTCTAGTGTTCTGGACCGGCTCCAGTGGGGCTGTTCAGACACCTCCGTGACCTTGGAGAGGCAGGCTCCTGGCACACAGGCAAGGCAGGGACGACATGTTGGGCCCGTCCTTATCCAGTGGCGTCCTCCAGGTGTCTGCGCCTCCACACTTCTGGGACATCGGATTTCGGATGCAGTACGTAAGCAGGTGCCGGGGTCCGTCCTCGTTCCTGCAGTCCTTAATATCAGGGGGTCAAGTGCTATTCGTCTTCCATGAAACGCCTCCGCCAGCAACTGCGACCTGCGCCGAAAAGTTTCCTTCAACAATTCGGGTAGTATCTGATTTGGGGGCTCTTTCAACGTTGGAAAGCTTGTTTCGTTTCTAACCATCAATTTTGGTTCTGTCATCTCCCAATACCCTTGCTCCAATAAGTCATTGCCACATAAAGCAAGTTTTTGACAATACGGATATCTCCAGAGCAGCGACCTTGACAATTATCCCTTTATCTGGGGGAGAGGCCGTTGGTGCCAAGACTCCACATTCTGCGGTTCATGTGGAGTTTGTCAGGTGGTTAACCTCACTCATCCCGCATATCTACTTACACATGCAAACCTTGGCTGACTTTCCATTCCCTTTCGATATCTGACATGGTTGATGATTGTCAGAAAATGAACACCAAGGTAGCACTACCAACCCTAAAGGTGATGAATTTCTTTGTTCTTCTGCCTCCTGAAACTTAGTTCGCCAAATAGGAGTTCCGACTGCCATGGACTCATCACTTCGCACCATATCACCATCTACTTACGTTGCTTTGTAAAATGACGATAACTATGCTATTGTTGAGCCGCCTCAAATTTCATGATGATGACCAGCAGGCATCACTGGATGAAGTTGATATCTCTGCGGTGGTATGATCGTCGATTTCGATTGCCAGCCAGTCAATTTCCCTCCACTAGAGAAACTGCTCATAATTACCAAAGTCTGTAAGGAAGCTGTCGCTTCAGTCGTCATCGGCCTCTTTTTTCGTCACAGCTTTCAGTCCAGCCATAGTCACCGAAAACTCGACAGCGCCATCCAGACCCTGCCCCGTAGCTCTCGCGTGAGGAGCGAAGACCACTTTCATCCATCGTCGCCAGTTCTTGAGCGCCGGCATGCCCCGATCATCGGCTTCATCTTCTATATGCCGATGCACTCCATACACGGGCTTCTTGAAAAGCGCGATGCGGCACGCAATCTGCGTTGACCACACGAGACCCAGACTGGGCGTCTTGAGTCCGTAGTCAGCCAACGGATCGTCGCCCCATCCCGTGAACCACCGTTGCTGGTGGTCAAATGCGAGCGCGGGAGGCGCAGGCGGGCCAAAGTCATCCAGGCCGGGAGGTTCAGGCATGCTAGAACGAACATGCTCAGCTATGGACGATGTCGGTTCGACCGCCGATGGGGAGAATGCTCTCAGCCCTCTACTCCGTGATGCCAGTGGACTTTCCTGGGTGAAACTTGGAGCAGCACCCGCAGGGGCCGCCCTAGGGGTTGCCACCGGCGCAAAAGGACTGGAGAAGCGATCCGCAACTTGATTGGCGACAACAACAGCCAAGTTGTATGTTTGGGCCAGCTCTCTAAGCAAGGCTCCAAGTCGCGTGAGTTCGTTGCTGCGAGCTCCCATATTTGACCCATGATTGCCAAGAGTCCCCCGCTCGAATTCGGCTCGATAATTAGAGGCGACAGAGTCCAAGACGATGAGTCCAGTATTCCGTCTCTCAACCTCTACTGGGACTTGAAACTGGAGAATGTGCTCTTGCGACTCAAGGTCAGGTGTCGAAGTGCTGAGGATACCGTCTAGAGACGGCTTGTCCTCTGGTGAGAGGTCGGCGAACCGCGGGTTGGATGACAGCATTTGCGATAGACGCTTGGTGGACAACTGAGCTTCCGTTGTGATATATATGGCCGGGCGCCCCAAGCCGTATGGCGGTGGTAATTGAACGGCCAACAAGAGGGACAGCAGAAACTGCGTTTTTCCAGCACCACTTTCGCCCGTGATCTCAGTCACATAGCCGGCTGGGATTCCACCCCCCAAAGCTCGGTCAAGAGAGTCGTCTAGAGTGCTAATGGTAGACCATTGATTCTCAAGGTCCATCAGAGAGCTCTTGAGAAACCGGCTGGCCTTTGGCTGCTCATTGACAGAGCCGAAGTCGCGGTGGAGGGCATCGACGACGGCGGCGCAAAGTCTTTTGATGTCGAGCAAAGGCAGCTGAGTGCGCTTGCCTATATCAACGACATCTTGAGTCAGTATATCTGTGACGGAAAGCTGATGACGTTCCAGAGTCTGCAACAGTCCAGCGAACTGCCTAACAGGGAAGTCAGGTAGCAGTTGAAGCAGGTCGGACATGGCATGTGAAGAAAGCCCGGCAGCGTGGAACGCCGAATGGCCTCTATGTGCTCTTTGAAGTCTCCAGTCTCCAATGTGTTCTGCAGATTTGATATTTTGAGGTGGCAAGGCCTGGTGAATGGGATGTGAACAAGGATCGTCACATGAGCTTGAGAGCCGTTACGAGGGGTTCGGCAAGTCGAATCAATGGAGGTGAAATGTCTGGTAAGATCTGATCGCCAAGGACGCGTCGGTGCTTCTTGTCGTAGCGTATCGATTAGACGAAATGGGAAGCTATGGCCGGGATCGGTCTTGCAAGCATGTGTGTATTAACCTACGTGTATGATAGGTATTGATACACACCATCATCACAAAGACAGAGCGAATGGAGAAGTTGATGATTCCCTCGGCTAGGTACGTACCTGATAGTGAATATTGTTGATTATGTCATCACACCTACTGGCTGAGATCTGCTGGCACTGCCACTGGGATAGAGTCAAATTACCTTAACTAACTGACACAGGTAGTCAAAGCAACCAGCCTTTTTTGTGCGATATGCATGCCTTTTAACTTTTACTCTGGTCTTTGAGCTGATCGAGACTCCCTCCATTTTGAGTACAAGAGGTAGGCGGGCTATGTCCGCTCTCACCCCCGCGAAGCTGTGGTGTTCACGTCCATCGCGAGGTCGACAGCACCCCTACCTAGTCATGCTTAGGTAGGCATTGACGTAGAAACCGTCGTTTGCGGCCTGGCAGTCTGCAAGTATAAGTCATTTACGGTGTAATGCGTTCCAGGACGACTCGAGTCCGGTATTGTGTCAGTCAGCATTAGCGGAGAGACACCGACACCGACCAAATCTCATTCCCCCTCGAGCAGAATCAGAATCAGAATATGGTTTTTCTTCGACACCCTTAAATCATCGTCATGCTCTCGCAGGACAACAATACCAGGGCCGCCAGCTGCCGAAGAACAAACGACGGTTTAAGGCCGTAGTCTGGGAGCAGGGCTCATGAAGGAAGATAGGTAGTACCGGCAAAAAAGAGAGAAAGGTGTCACCCCTCGAAGTATGGATGAAGAATTGGGATTACCTGAATGGTAGAATTGATGTTTCCCGTGGTACAAGGAGGCAAGGCAGTAGAGGTGCTTGCTACCCTGAATGCTGCACACAGCAAATAGGCCATCCCACCTAGCTCTAGGATCCTGGCAGAGCTTGAAGGCGATGAACGGCCTGAGACAGTATTCTTTCCCCATAGGCTTCTTCGAACTCGTGTCGGAAGTTTGACTGAGCCTTGACGATTTCCCCGCTGTAAGAGCGGTTCAACTACATTGGAAACGGGGGACAGATGTTCAAGCCCAATTGGAAGTTCGACCGTCCTTTTGTCCTTACCATTCTCGTCCACAAACGTCATTATTGCTTTATTACCGGCAGCTAAAGCAGAGCGTTGCCTAGTTGTTTAGTTGCGATGATTGAGTGGCGAATGACCGTGACTGAGATTTCGTCTCCGATTCAGCATGTTCACCAGCATGCCACTGTCCTATCGCTGTAAAAGCTAATCAGGTTCATGAGTGACAGGTAGTAGCCCTCTCACATAGAACAACGACTCTCAGAGAGCGACAATAAGTCGCTTCCCATCCAATCCAATGCATTATATTATGTGAATGATTCAGGCATCTGTACCAAAGATACGGCAACACAACGTTGGCAATATCTGAGGCAAGGCACTGAGACAACCAGACAACGCTCACGATGGTGAATTCTAGCATGTCCAGCCAACAAGCCTCAGACGTGACTGAGGCCGGTATAACAGTCAAGAAGAAAGGTCTCCATCGCCTCCAAGTTATCCCTGACTACGCCTGTTGCCTCGTTCTCGGCCAATTCGAGGGCCAAGACTTGGAGTTATCCATCGGTGGGCCAAGTAGGAGCAGAGAGACGACCGAGCATATAACCTTAACAGTGTAGTTCAGCACTCAGTGGGTCAAGATCTGAAAGCGGTTAGACAAAAGGCGACCTTCCAATCAGAAAGCACTCTTGCCTTCCAGAGAGTCACCGAGGGACGTCGTGCAATAGCGCACTATCTTAGTGGAAAGTGCCTTCCACTCCCAAGCGCCTGCCTGCCCTTCTACCCGGAAAGGGGAGTCCGCGCGGCAAAGGCTTATTCTACTGTTGTTTTGGGAGGAAACTCATTTAGAGTGTCGCTCTGTTGGCTTTATGACCTTTGCTGACGTAATGGAAGTGGTCAATACGTTTGCAAACATGCCCGGTTTTCTTTTCCCATTGACGCGGGTTACCTCATTGATGGCGAATTTTCCCTGGCCCTCGTTTTCTTCGCGGGAATCTAATGTTTTATTCAAGAAAGGCTAACCTGCTGGAATAATAGGCCATGATGTAAGAGGAAGAAGCGCACTTGCCGTCAAGTTAACACCAACGATGTGTTATATTGGTGGAAGGTAAGAGGTGGCCCACGACTCGATTATGGAATGTACATCCAGCAGAATGAACTGCCTATGCCCTGCGCACCTTCCCCTTGCCCCTTGCCCCACAGGTATAATCGAAGAAGACCTTCCATAATTTAGCCCTGCTTCTATTTCACTCGAGTCTTCTACTTCTACAACACATTCTAAACTAGAATATTCCACTTTCAACTCGAAAATCTCCCCATCAAGCCAAAGCTATGGATCAGAACGAGCCTACAGAGAAGTAAGCGTCGAACTCCTTACGCTCTTGTTGAAGTTACCCATTCTCACATCTAGTTGATGAGAATGGCCTCAGATAACAGATGCCTTGCCGTTCAAGCTTTTCGCAACGTTGCCGGGCCTCCTCGAGAGCACAGGAAACTTCTGATGTGGATGAATGTCAACTTCGCTGTCGATCACGACATAATAGAGGCAACTGTTCGGACTCTTGTCGTGCCCGCGGCTCCTGACGACATTGTATTTCACTGAATGCCTCCCACAAACCCGAGGGTTCGGGCACCAAGGCATGGCGGAGCCGTCCACGTGGCGTTTGCAATATGGTCTGCCTGCGCCATGGCACTTGAAGTACTCGCGCCCGGTTTCTCAAATTTTCGGCTAAACGATTGCAGTTTAGAGTTCAGAGATTGAGAAGAATACGGCCATTGAATTTGAGTGTACATCTATATCTCATTGTCTCTTTTCCATGCTAACCAATCCACAGCGTCAGCTACAGGGTCGAGCTGCCGCTACCGCCAATCCTACTTTCGTCGCCGTTGTCAACCTCACTCTCGCCGTCGTCGTTATCCCCGCTCCTGCCGCGGCTACCAAAACTATTCGCCACATATGCTACTCTCACTGACTTACCCATACCCCTGGCGCAAGACGTTGACAAGACCCCAGGCCACCGGGAGAAGGATGAGGGCGTGATGCCTGCCAAGAGTGTCAACCGTACTTACGAGGTACTTGACCCTGATATACCTGTGCCTCGATGCGACGATTGAGCAACAGCGGCACGACTCTTACAATATTCTCATCTACATTCTACTAGCTTATACCCTGCTTCACTTCCCTCCCTCAAGGGGTGACCCCTTCTTCACCGCCAACCTCCTCAGGGGCAACCATCTTCTTCCCTCTTTCCATCATGGGCTATGTCCATTTTCCATGGTGGACAATCTCCATCTAAGATTGAGGCCACTCCCTTAGGCTTCGGTCTTAAGACCGCTCTGGCAGCTCTGCGGAGTGTGGGTTCGAATCCCATAGCAATCAGTAAAGAGGCAGTAGGGCACCTGCTCAACCACCAGGTAGATTTGTGGCACTATTTTATGGTATGAACTAAAGATCAGTACCGAGTTGGTAAACCAATACAGGCCGGGAATTGTCTCTACCTTCCATTATTGGGCGGCGATGTGCTAGACGACAGCAGCGGAGAGCTTGTTTTGCGGCTCAACCCGACCGCCGAAAAGGGCAATTCAATTTACAGCATGGCGCCCTTTCAGATGGATAATGATAGCAGTTGTCATTGCCGAGGAGAGAAACATATTTCGGCGCTATGAGTGTATGTTCCCAACATCGAGGAGCTTTGATTCATGTGTCCATAAGAGCTCTGGAGGAGGCCAGCAGAGGGTTCACGCCTCCTCTCTCACTGCACCTCTTATAGGCTTCCCGGAAGCATCTCTCTAACAGTACTCTTTGCCTTTCAACGATTTGCCTGGCAATGATGCGATTTTAACCATCAAAATTTGGGCCAACCTGTCCAAAGTTTCGACAGGAATCCCGGATTGGCAAAAATTGTTGTTTTGACCGTTGTTCACACATTCTCTCACATGCCCGCTTTGGGAACAGATGGCAGACGAAGCATATGTCCCGTAGCACCAATGGTGTGCAGGCGGGAACCGCTAACTATCCGCTTGGGCAATTGGAGCAAACAAGCACAAGGCAAACAACGCCCACGGCAACGAAGAAGATCAGAGAGTCGCGTGTTAGCTACTGATTCCTAAATCAATTGAGCTATGGGGCCGTTTTCACATCTCAACCTGACCTAGAGAAACAAGCACAGGCCCGAGGCTGAAGCCTGCTTTCCGGCGGTGGTCTTGTCTAATTAGCAAGTGCGAGAGAGGACTAGTGCAACATACCTTCGTCGAAAGCTAGTCCGCGATGACCTAAGGGCGTCAGACTCACACGCCGGATAGTCCCCAATCAACACGCTAACAACGGGAAACCCGACTTCCAACGGCAAGGTCTGATGCTTATACCACTCTCGGTTCCAGAGAGGAAGGATTCGATCTTCACCTTCGGCGCCCTCTTGGGAGGGAACGAGACCCCACTGGCCCATTTATCAAGGTTCGTCATATGTTCTTCGAGAAGACCCTAGATCTAGGCAACAGTATCGCCATAGCTTTCAGACTTTGAGTCTTATCAATTCGACGACGCTTGCAGCGAGTCTTTTGTGCTACAGCTTGGCTACACTCCGTGGTGAAGTATCTTCCTAAGGACCGAATAATCTGCTATTTCTGGGACGTCTTATTCTCCCTGCGCAACGACACTTTGTCCCAGCTTCTATTCTTCTGCCATGTCTTTGTCTCCACGCCTCCCCCGCCATTCTCTTCCTGCTCACCCTTGGTGCAGCAGTTCCAGTGGCTTTTGTCCCTCTCTTTCCGTCCACGCTAAATGTACTCTTGTTATTCAGCTTTGGCAAGCCACAATGATCTATCTCTTCTGCGATTGGCCTGGCTAGACCCTAGATGCCTGACTAGCCCATCCTCCCAGAAAACTAAGCTCATTAGCTAGTCTAGGGCTGAGCAATTCGTGGATCTGCTGTTGAAGTCAATCCAAGCATGAACCGGTCCCGGGCGGTGCTTACACCTTATAGCTCACTATCAAGACAACTCGTACCTTGGGTCAGTGCCCCGAGAGCGCGCTTTGTGGAACAACAACGATGGAAACAGATACGGGAATACAAAGAGGGCTAGATTTATAACCAAGGCATTTAGCCCATCCGCTCTACGAGCGATTTTCCCCTTCTCTTCTGTCTTGTTTGGTCTCCCTCGGGTCAATCTGACGCAGAATACTGTAGATCAAGTCCTCGCCAATCTCATTAAAACTGTTCAAAGTTCGAGTTCGATCAACATGGTGAACACATTCAAGTCCCTCGCTGGTTTGGCGGCTCTCTCAAGCGTTGGCAATGCCAAGCTCTACGAACTCCCCCAAGCTACCACTTCATTCAACTTTCCTCTCGACCAATTCAGCCCTCAGCCGACCAAAGCCCCCGCTTACGCTGACTTGAGGAAAAGGCAATCATCAACAACGACCACGGTCCTCGTTGCGCCAGATAACACTTGTGGTTACATCTCTGGGCGTGCCGGTGCGGCATACACATGCGGGACTGCCGCCAGCTGCATCTTCTTCACATCGGTGAACAAAAACACCCCCGGCCGAGTTGCCTGTTGTGATGCCAGTGATTGTGGCGCTCGACGGACATGTTACGATTCTAAACAGGTCTCGACGTCTAGTCTCTGTGATGGTGGCTGTCTTGTTGATCGCTTCACTTTGAAATGGTATGTATGATCTCGAGGCTGGCTCTTTCTCCAGACGTGATAAGTACCCTATAAGACTAACATCGTATTCAGTACCAATACAGCTCGGCCATACTGCAACACCATCTCCTTTGCAGACGGCATCTTTGACTACTGGTGCAATACGGCAGAGATATCGACCCCGCAAGCCGCGACGACCACTTACGCCGGCGGACCGGCACGCAACTGGACACCGCTCGCCTTAACAGACGACACAACATCCAGCAGTGTCATCCGACCAGCCAGCTCCGGAGTCATCACAGGCACCGCCAGTGGTTCTGTGTCCGCGCCCTCTATCACTACCTCTCCCGACAATGACAACAATGGCGGGATAAACAACAATAACAACAACAAGTCCTCGACCCCCGTCGGTGCCATCGTCGGAGGCGTCATCGGCGGCATCGCCGTCCTCGCACTCATCGGCTTTGGAATCTTCATTATTCTACGCAAAAAGAAGAAGACGCAACAACCCGGACCCGGATCGCACGGCCAACCTCCAATGATGAGCCAGCAGCAGCAGCAGCAACCACCTCCAATGGGCTACGCTCCTGCGCCCCAAGGCTCGCCGGCACCGTACGGCGCCCAAACGCAGACGCACTCCTTCTACGAGCCAAAGTACGACGGCCAGGGCGGATACCAGCAGCAGAACTACGGCAACACGCCCCCTCCCCCTCCTCAACAGGGCGGCGGCTACCAGCAACCCTACTACAACGGCAATATGGCGGTCCCCGATCGCGCAGACACGACGAGCCCCAGTGCCATGTCTCAGGGAACGCACAGCAACCGGCTCAGCACGCGACCCGTCAGCCCGAATCACCCGCAAGGCGGGTTCCAGCAATTTGGCGGTGGCGGGCAGCCGCAGCCGACTATTCACGAGGCACCTGCTAATGGTGATGGACACAGGGGGCAGATGCACGAGCTTGCCTAGTTGCATTTGGTGCGGCGGCGAATGTTTCTGTCGATCTTGGTCGTCGTTGTTACGACATGAGGCTGGTGCGTTTCTGTATATATTTTTATGCTCTAGCTAGGGATGCTTTCTCTTCTTGGTAGCGGTGAGGTGGTTCGCTACACTGGGAATGGAGCGACTACCTGGGTGCCCTCCTGAGTGAATCTGGTTACCGGGGTTGTATTAGACTCGGGCTTTTGGTTCATATCTTAAAGAAGGCTCTTGGGAAGAGATACGTGTATGAACTGCATGGTTTTTGCGGGGACTAACGAGCTTTCTGGGAGGCTGTATTGTCTTCAATGATTCTGAGATGATATGAAAAGAATCGACCGCATCACGATCATATGGCTAAAGGGACGTTCCACTGTGATCCACAAAGTTTCAGAACGTGTAAAGATCGTACTCGACACGCAGTAGGCACAGCAGGTTTAGCAGTGTTGTATGACGTTTATAGATTAACATGCCAAGCCAGGAGGATATTAAGAGTCGGCGACAAAACAGGGCTCTGGTCAAGGAATAGGTGTTACCTTCCTAACAGCAACTACCTCTATCATGACCGCTCCCCTCTTCCATAAAATAAGTGCCTTTATCATTATCTCTTCTACCTTCTTTATAAAAGCTACCTCTATTATCATCTCTTTCCCCTTCTCTATGACAACTACCTCTATTGTTATCCCTTTCCCCTTCCTTGTAGTAACTACCTCTATTGTTGCCCCTTTCCCACGTTTCCCATGGTATATTCCATAAATAATACGTGCTTGGTAGAGTAGGATACCTTATGGTAGCACTTCTTGCACCTAGACTTCACTAGAAAATGTCATTGAGCAGAGTCAAGATATCGCATGCATATTCCCCAGAGGCGGTAATCTGCGCCTTTGCAAGGCGGTTAACCCAATCAAGGTGAACACAAGCAATTAACCCACAATAGCTGGTTGATATACCATACTTCGAGGACAGCCGACCAGAAAAGAAGGGAGATGGATGGCATGGAAAAAGCAAATGTCAGAGGTCACTTCGATTGCGTGAAAAGTAGTCTTGAAACTTGGGGAACCCATTCTAGATTTCTTCCCTCCTTCGCGTGCTATGTATCCAAATGGGGTGAACTCCTTCCTGGAATACCTATTTACACACTTCGAAATACGAGCACTAAGCTTCGTACTGGCCGAAAGGCCTTGTCTCTGACTGACGTGTATACCGACACAGACCAGCTCAGGCACGCAGCAGATTCCACCGTATTTCCCCGTGCTACGACACAGTCACGGTCCCACGATGCTTCCATCCATCCGGACAAAACTAATAGTCAATCAGCCGCAGCTTCTTCCCAATCTCCCTCCGACGCGCCTGTACCGCCGCACGCTCAGAGGGTTTCGTCTCCCCAGGGTCCATGTTCTCCCCTCGAGCCTTGAGTGCCTGGAGAAGCATGCCTGCGTCAAAGAAGCCGTCTAATCACACTACGTGTTAGTAAAAGTCATTTGAAATCATATGGGAACGGAAGGAAAAAGAGAGACTTACATCCTCCAAGCTCATCATCCTCGCTAAGCGTAACACTCTCCTCCGTAGGCGACTGCGTACCCGTCGAAGACCTCGCGACAGAGGGCTTGATGGCGTCGTGCGCGGTAATAAGCCGGCCGCGCGACTTAATTCCCTTGGGTGGCTTCGGCCTCGCCTGGAGATCGAGCTCGCGCGCGCGGGTCTGCTTGGCGGCGCCCATTCCCGCGCCGCCGGTGCCGCGGCGGGACGTGATGCGGAGGATCCGCCGCACCTCGAGGAGGTAGCTCTCGAGCGTGTCGACGAAGCGTTTTGTTTGGCGGTGCTTGCTCGACACGCAGATGGAGATGCTCTCGTCCTTGATGATGTACCCGATGCCGAAGCCGTCGCCGGACGTGGGGCCGAAGCCGAATTGACGTAGGGAGGGGTTGCCGCAGTTGGACGTTGACATGATTGTGTTATTGAGCTTGTCCCAACCCGAGTCGGCGAAGATTTGTGGCATCGAGGCCTGGTTGTTGCCGTTGCGCGAGTTGGTGCTGTCGCCGCGGGCGCGGCCGGTGGATGAGGACTGCAGCTCGGCGCCGTTGAGGGAGAGGACCGAGTCACGACCTGGGCTACCGACGGCGGACTCGCTGACATCCTGCTCGGAGAGGGCGTCGATGGGACTCGAGTAGCCGTTGGAGCTGCCGGACAGCTCGTCGTCCATGGAGCGCTGCCAGGTGCAGAAGAGGGCGTAAAGGTGGCGGTCGCAGCCCTCTGCTTTGGCGCACTCGCGGGTGCTGTTAACATGTCGCTGACACGCCTTGCGCAGGGCCTCGACCTTGTGCTCGGCTGGGTTGTCGGCCCAGAATGTCTGGACAAAGTTGACCGACTCGTCCGAGACGCTGCGGATGGCCTCGGTGCGGCCGTGGAGGAAGATCTTGGTCATAGCGGGTTCGTAGGTACACTCGACGCGGCCGTAGAGCCCGTAGTAGGCGGCCTGGAAGGCCATCTGCACAAAGGCATCGGGGGAGAAACCCATCGAGGTCATAAAATTTTTGCCATAGTGCTTGAAATCGAGGGTCTTGAACTCGTTTTGCTCAATGAGGTCGGCGAGACGGGTCTCTGCAAAGCGGACGGCGACGCTGAGCTCCGGGTTCATGTCCCACTCGAGCTTGTGTGGTGTTGTGTTGACCTCGCCGAAGCTGTCCGGATCGCGCTTTGCCGGGTCCGGGCTGGTGGAGGCCCAGAGGGTCGGGGCTTGGCCGTTGATGGTCCGGGCGAAGCGGAGGATGGTATCCGTGTACACGTCGCTGGCGAACCGCAGAACCGTGTGACCGTCAACACCGGTGTGCTCAAAGTTAATTCCGGCGCTACCGTTCTTGCATACAATGATTTGTAGCTTATCGTACCATCTATTGGTGCAGGTTCCGATTTGCACACCCTTCTCGACCAAGCTGGTACCGCAAAGCATGTTACCACAAAGAGCGTCTGCGTCAACCGGCTCGGTATAGTCAAGACACAGAACGAAAAGGGCCGAATCGACGATCCCCAGGCAGTCGGCGTTGTTCGAACCCTCCTCCCGAGTCAGGACATCTCTCAGTCCCGACCAGATCTTCCGGTTTTCCGTGCTGAGAACGCCGAGGGCCCCCTTGGCCGCATCCTGAATCGGCGTTTGAGCAGCATCGTCGATGATGGTCTGTAGGTTGATGGACACATCTTTCTCGCTCATGATGAGGTCATTATTGTCGTCCAAAACGTCAAACCAATAAAATTGGCCGTGGCACATGACAATGATGTGCTTCGACTCCGGGTCCTGCTCGATTTGGCATCCATTTTCCGTGGGTACACGTGCTGTTCCAAAAAGCCGAGAGTATTGGTACATGCAAAGAGGCTGACCTTTAACCGTGTCCGGGGGCAACTCCTCCTTTCGAACTGCTCTCACAAACTCCAGGGCCGACACCACGAGCGATGCCGCTCGGGTCACTTGATTGTTTCTCGCAGGAGTAGGATCATCTTCCAGCAGGAAAAACGGATTGAGGTTAAGGACGACCGGGTTATCAAAGTTTAGGTATGAATCATACCCTTGAAAAAAGGCCTGTCAGTCAAGATTGAGATGGGGGATTCAGTTGTGCTTACAAAATTGTTCAATATAGCTTGTCTTGTCCTGAGCATACGTCTTCAACTTCTCCTGCAGAGCCGGGCCATCGTGCTTCAGGAAGTCTTGTAGCGCCTGCTTGGTCTCTGAATGTTCTCGTGCAGACTGTAACGGCTTGAGGGCAACGAGATACTTTTGCGCGGTAGCTTCCAACTCGGGGATGGGCAGATGCTTGAGCTTTTCCTGGGCAGCGAATGTGACACCGCCCTCGACGGACTTGTCTGTGTATACTGCCATAGAGCGAGTGGCCTCTGTACTCTGCTTCGGTTTTGACGGTTCGACTTGTTTCCAAAGATCTGAGGTGTCTGGGATGGAACGAGGAACCGAGGAAGGAGGAACAGCCTTTTCGAGAGTCTCACCGAGGGGCCTAGGTCGCGAAAAGATTCTGACTTGAGTGGGCATGATTGTTAGCGGAGGGTGACTCCTTTTCTTTTATGCGTAGAGAGGCGAGACGTTGGTGCTGATGTTTAATCCGCGCAGCGCCGTGCGGTAGAAGTAGTGGCAGTCTTGGAAGCAAAAAGGTGGCATTACACTAGACAATGCTACATCGTCTGGACGACTGAGGATAGTATAGTAGATAGGGAGGGAGGGAAGAGAGAAAAGAGGAGACAGCTCGGCTACAGGAAGGGGAATGGACTAGGGATATATCGACGGGCCTAAGGAAGTTCGGAGGAGAGAGGGAGAGGCTGACAAAGTGAAGTGGTAGGCACTAGCATACTGAGAGAGAGGCGTATCTGGAAGTCAGATGGGATAGGTACGAAGTACAGACGAGATGGGATCAAGTGGGACCCCCCACAAAGACGACTAGGATGGGGCTGGCATGCAGATACCAGTTCACTCTGGGGTCCCAGGGTCTCATCTCGAGGGAGCAAGACGCCCTTTCACATGTGGAACAGAGGTCTTGAGGCATCGCACCGCAAGGCCGGAAGCAAGCGCTTGATTGGGCTGGCGGAAGAGAGGAAACGGGGAGGGGACGGGCACTTCGGGAAATCCGCGCTGGCCAGGTCAGGCCCTGGGAGGCAGAGAGGAGCTTGGCTTGTGAAACTCGCTCCGCAGGACCGACGCGAAATGATAATATGGGTGCGGCCAGTTTCGTAATCTGCCGAGACTTTATGGGTAAAAGACGAAGCAAGACAGGGGAAAGGAAGGCAATGTCACCTACAGGCGCAGTCGAACCAGTTGTTTGCGGCCGCTGGTTATCTTTTTAGATGAAGATGTCGAACGTGGTTGAAGTAGAGAAGAGATTGCGGGCGAGATTGATGATTTGCCAAGTTGAAGTTGACTTCTGTACAGTAGCCTAGTTAGAGGTGGCTGGCTCTTTGGCCAAGACATGCAGCCTAGCCGTCCCCGGTGAAGG